CGCCTGAGCGGCCACCATAACTCTGCCCATCTACGGCTGCTGGTAAGCAGGGATCTCGGGAACCAGACGCAAGAAAGTGTTCTCGGTAACACTGAAACTCGTTACATGCTGTAAACGAAGGCAAACTTTTACAAATCACCAAAGAGTTTCAACATGTCTAGTTCAAAGCTGAACCAATAGTCGACCGGCAGGTAACCCATTTCACTTTCTTGCTAGTTGTTACGAGGAACCACAAAGCCATACAGTATGATTTGCTGTGACCATTATCCACTCAGTGCATTGTCACATTTGGCACCGCTTTTGTCACAGCCACCAAAATAGTAAATTTTGACAAGCTCATCAATGTTAGCTATTGCAATTGTAGTCCTGGCCAGACTCTTGGCCAGTCAGGTTTTAGGCATTGTGAGTTGGAATTAAGGCGCGAGCGCGAATCTGTGAATCTCTGCTTAATTCACCAGACAGATGCACCATTCCACGCGCTGCCCAGATCCATTTATTGCTGTTCCAAAGTCGCTTGGCTTCTTTGCTTAGGTTTGGACATCATCTACATGATGAATGCCAACAATCACGTTTGTTATTGTATCGTCTCACGCCGCACAAGTTGTTAACTAGCATCGAGTAAGGATGGCTTAGTAAAGGAATTTTGCGACAATGGCTAATTCACATACAAAATTCGAGCGGCTGGCTTACATTCAAAGCAGATGCTCCCAATCGAAGTACTGCTTTTTCACGCGTAATCGAGTGTACTTGTTCACTTAAGTTCCATTCTGAAACGTAGCGCTCTCTCTTTAAGGCCCTTGCTGTTACATGGGTCACCATGCCAGCTGAAAGGCCCATCACAATTATAATCCTAAGAAGTGCGCTGGCAGTTATTACAAAATCGTAAAAGTGATATTCGCGCTGCTGCAGCCTCCGTCTATAGCTCTGTTGCTGCGATGGCCCAACGTTGTGGTGCCAGCCGCCATATTTCATACAGAGCTTGAAATCAATGCGCGGGTAATTAATAACGTTTCCGAGAACATTTACTCGCGTAAACGGATTGGAAGGGAGCCTTTTAAATGCTGCCTCACAATTCATAAACCCTTTTGGGAATGAGAATCCCCTCAGGAACCTATGGAAAGATGAACGAACGTTAATTGGAAAAGCTGTCACTGTAGCTACCACGCGTGGACTACCGCTACGCCGCGCATTCGCAACTTTGAGAGATTACGCGACGTTTTATCATAACACATTATCAGAAACGACTCAGGTGGAGATGTATTCACAGCATGTGCAGATGGTCTATTGAACGTACAAGTCAAAATCAGCCGAAGATTAGCCACGGAATTGGCGCTTCGCCAAGCGAAGGAGCCGACACAGGAGCCCCGGTCAGAGGCCGTGGTGTCTGTTCGCGTGACACCGCTGGTTAGACCTCCTGCTGGGTAGAGGCCCAGACCGTTCCGGGTGCGTGTGGCGGTGGGACGCGCGCCGGCGCGCTCACCTACTCATTAGCGGCACGGTCGCGGCGCCAGGAGCGCGGGTCGGGCCAGGCCGGACCGAGGGCGGGTCGGGCCGGGCCAGGCCGAGGATGGGTCGTGCGCGGGTCGGGCGGGGCCGGGCCGGCCACCGCTCCCTCTCCCGGCGCTGACTGACGCTGTTCTCGGCCGGTCAGCGCTGTTCTCACTGAAATGTAATCAATTACTAGAGCTAGTGGCTGAGCTGGAGCTAGTCAGTCGACAAAATGGGAGGCAAAACCGCGATGATGCGCCTGGCCGTGGTTGTCATAACAAAACACAACTTTTTTTTCGCTATGCCAAATACGTGTGGTGCGATATCAACGATCGCAATCAATCAAGGACTGCTGCCTTGGCGTTGATTTGGTCTCCACAGGTGCCCTGTAATCGGCTGGCCTGTACTACCATTGTACATTGTGCAGCCCTTTATGGTGGTCTTCGAGGTGTTCCTGGAAGGGAATGTTTCTCGTTTGAAAATATTGAAGCAGGGATCAGATGTGATAAAACAAGCTCACTTATAATTTTTGCTATACCTTTAAGTAGAGCAGACCTCTGTGGACAGCACAATTTCTCTGTATAGTAAATATGCCCTTCGATGCGTCTTTGTTTGATCTCGTCGTCGTAACTTGCACAACATTGATTGAGAGCCAACTGACGGCCGCTATATCTGGAAATGATGCTCACGAACGTCAGATATGAATATGGCGTTTTTATAACGTCATGAATGCCATGGCGACATTGAAATAATCTCCCCGAAATAGTCTCCCCATCTTCGCGGGCGCTAGCTCAGAAACTAGAGGGGCTTAGGTCGTAACAAGGCCAGGGCTGTGAACTGCACCGAATAATCTCCAAGATTGGCGTTTCAACTCAAAGCCCCACAGACATGCGAAACACTTCCTTTAAGCATTGCGTCGTGGAAGTTGTGTCGGACAAAAAAGATCGCAACTTTACGTGGTGTTGGTGTCAGGCCCCTGCAGTGGTTCGAACATGATAAACACTACCGCTGGGAATCACGCGTTGACACCAGACCGTGACGTCACGCGTTGACACCAGACCGTGACGTCACGCGGTGACACCAGACCGTGACGTCACGCGGTGACACCAGACCGTGACGTCACGCGTTGACACCAGACCGTGACGTCACGCGGTGACACCAGGCCGTGACCACCTGAGAGCGCCGGTCATTTCCAAGGAGTTCTGTTCCCCACGCATTACGTCATTTGCTTTGCTCTTACCGTCATCTCTCGCTCTCTGGGAGACCAATTTACCGTTCCGAACAGCGAAGCTGCTTCTTTTACAGCTGTTGACCGATGGAAATGAGCTGGGGGTCGCTGGCTGAGATGTGCTCCAAAGCGAGGCTGATGAGAGTCGCCGTGGATGTGCTGCGCTCGTTCGGTGTCGCCACCCCGCCTCGTCACGACATAAATATGAGGACGGTGCCAGAGCAGCACCGTCCTCGTGAGCGACGCTGAATTCCTTTTCTCCGCTCGAGAATATTTCACTGCTTCTGTGCGCGGTCGGACACAAAGCCCAGATTTGGCTCGAGTTATGTCCAGGCCGTGCGCTTTTCTCAGGAAGTTACGCCCCATGGGAGGCGCCTTCACGCGCTATTCTGAGTATTTCTCAGACGCCCACGCGCCCGGGCGCCCCATAATATCGGGGTAAGGCCCGGCCGGGTCCTCCCGCCAACTAGCCGCCCTGGGGAAATTACTTCGCCGTTCGCTAGATGGAGGGACAAATTCGCTCTGCTGGGAAAGCATCTTTTTGCTCGTGTCCTTTGTAGGCCAAGCTCTCTTCTTTTCATGTTGTGGGTTTCTTCGGAAGTACTGCTGGTCTTGGTGGGTCAGCACACTGAAAACTCGCTCTTTGTGCGCGTTTTGTGCGCGCGTCACGCGCGTCTTGCGCGTCACTATCCTTGTTTCTGCCAAACGTCAAATGGATTCCTTCTATGGTATTGACAGACTGCTGAAGCATTCTCATCTCACGCCGTCAACTTGACCACCTTCGTGCGATTTGCACTCTGACTACTCACTGCATTAACATTTGGCTGATCGAAGCTTTCAGCCTTCGGTTCATGTCCCCCACTACCATTTCTGTCCGAAGACGACCACCATGTGGCGAGCACGACCTTTATGTAACGAACACGGCCACCGCGCGGAGACCACTTCGTCATGTGACGAACACGGCTGATCTGTGACGAGCACAGTCGCCATGTGACGAGCACGTTCACCATGTGACGAGCACGGCCGCCATGTGGCGACCACGGTTGCCATGTGACGAGCACGGCTGATCTGTGACGAGCACAGTCGCCATGTGACTAGCACGACCGATTTGTAACGAGCACGACCGCCATGTGACGAGCACCGCCGCCATTTGACGAGCACGGCCGCCGTGCACGCCCTTGTGGCGATGGTGGCGGGCTCTGTGCTGCTGGCCGGACTGAGGTGCGCCGCTCTTTGACGGGGCATCGACCGCCGACCCGCGCCGGCCGGGCCGCTGACGAGCCTCACCGCTCGACCGCCAGCTGGAAACAGACGTCAGGCCAGCCAACAGAACTGTCGACAGACGCAGCCAGGCGTGCATTTGCCATCGTTTTGCGCCGTAATGTGTTTACTCTGTTTTTCCGCGCACGAACTGCCGCGATAGGGCGCTCTCCTTCGTTATTACGGGTCGTTTTCCAGCGGGTCTTATCAGCAGGACGTGATGCTTCCTAATGAGGTCTGCCGTGCCACATTACTTCTTGAGGTCTTATTTTACGGCCGTTGTTTGCTGCCGGTGGCCGCGCTCGTCCGTTTGGGGTAGTCGTCGCCCTCGCACGTCCGCTAGGGCAGCCGTCACGCCTTCGCTCCCCGGCCGCCATGCGCTGCCGGCAGGGCAATGCTGACGCGTCGCCAGTGACGCGCCGGTCTTTGTTAGAGGAGCACGCAGGTACTGACGTGCGGCAGCATCCGCGAGCGGTGCGGTTCATGCGCGGTATCATCCGCGGCGGCGCAGTTGACGTGCGGTATCATCCGCGGCGGCACGGTTCACGTGCGGTATCATCCGCGAGCGGCGCGGTTCATGTGCAGCATCATCCGCGAGCGGCGCGGTTCACGTGCGGTATCATCCGGGAACGGCGCGGTTCATGTGCAGTATCATCAGCGAGCGGTGTGGTCCACGCACGGAATGTGGCGTGCTTACAGGACCCGATATCTTGCGTCAGATTTTATCAGCAAAGCATGCCAGTCGCACTCGATAGAGCGTACAACCTGCGAACGCCGCGTCAGGTGTTCACTGACCCGAAAGAAGCATTCTGAATGCAATCACGTGAACCCCGCCAACAGGATTACGTAGTTGTGAAACCCCACCAATAAAACTTCATAAGTGTACCGTTCCTTCGGCGTTTGTGTGTTGCCAGAGCCGTATGCGTCCTAATTCTGACCTGCCCGTGAGCACTTGATGACCTTCGATGACCTGTGACCTGGGGAAGAGCGACGACTTGCGGCTGACCTGTCTCTCTGTCCGCAGGAGGATGGTTACCAGCTGGAGCCGCGTCAGGAGGAGCACGGCGTGGGCTTCTGCCCCCACTCGCCCATCCACAACAGCACCAGCACATACGTGGGTACGTGTGGTGACCGATGTCCCAGCGCCTGCAACCAATGACCCGAGACGCGACGGGCGTGGGCGCCTGCCGGATCGCACTGCACGCTCACAGCAGGCACACATATAGGCCTTGGTGGCTTTGTGAACTTAAGCTTGTTTACTCAACACGTGTTAGCCCTAGTATGATCGATGGCCAGCGGCTGATAACATATGATAGCTTTAATTTACTTAAAAGTTGATAGCGGTTTATATGCGCTGTATTGCTGACACTTCAATCATCCTAAGACTGTCTAAAGCGCCGGCTGATTCCTGCTCCAACAAGCGTAGGCTACGACCACCCTATGCGACGTACATACCAACAGCCATCAACAGGATCTCGATTTGTGTTTGTTCTTTCGTACCCCCGTCGTCCAAGTTTTCCTAGGTTCCTTTTGAGCGTGATTCGTGTTTAATAAAGCTGACATTAAAGGATAATAACAGCCTACCTGTAAATACGATGTCTGCTCATTTTACTGTAGCCCGCCAATTGCTTTCATGATCGTCATGCTACAGCATTGAATGTCCTCATTACTGTACGACATGGTCATTTTCGACCAAATTCGCTATCTTATAGCAGTGCTAGATGGATTCGAATTTAACATGAATGTGCTACCACTGATCCAGTATGATTGATGGTGCGAAAGGACATGAATATGCAATGCCCCGAGTGCCGTTTGAAGCGGCATCAGTAGCACCGAATACCGGCGGGAATATGATTTGAATCTGCGCTTGAACCCATATTCATACATTACATCGGATGAATTGAGAGTTCGACGATGACGGACGGTGACGTTTCAAATAAGCGGTCATCGGATGCTGCTTACGAGATGGCTTGTTCTGTTCTGGGAGGACGTATGAGAGGGGAAACAGACGACAGACGCACAGACGACACAGACGAGAGCCGAAGAACAGCTGAAGAATCAGGCGAATTTCTCACCGCTGCATCGCTTTGTCAACTATGCAAACACTTCAGCGCCACGACGCCATACCCCCCCACCCCCTTTCACCTCCTGCCGCGATGTCGTGACAGCGGGCACGTGTACACTCCCCGCCCCAGCACACGACCGCACCACTGTGTCGGGGAGGGGAGGCCGTTCTTCACGCCAATAGCTGGGGGCAGAGCGGCGACGGACGCCCCGGCGAGTTATGCCGGTAGCAACCCGTGTTTGCAGTGCGTTTGCGAAATTTACGGGAACTTAACGCTAATTTGCCAGTTGACGTTGCCGTTTAAAAAGTCAATGAGTCACGCCAGCGTCGGGGTGAGGGGCTGGGAACGGGGAGGGAGCGGGGGGGGGGGGGGGGCGACTGCTGCACTGAACGAGCGGGGAAGTTGATGAGCTTATTGCCCGCTGACGCGGGTGCCCCTCACCCGCGATATTAACATTCCCCAGGCTGTGATTTTTCAGGCCTTATCACGAGCACAAAAGCGGCGGCCGAGCCAGCCACTTGACGCACGCCGAAGCCGGCAGACGCGACGAAAAACGCCGATATTAAAACTCGCCTAGCTGCGCACCGCGGTCTGCGCGCGCGGCTAGGCCGGCCTCATTAGCGCGGTATCGCTGTTTCCAGCCACCGAGCGCGCGCGCCGCAGCCGCGCTCATCGGCGCTCCCTGGGCGCGCGCGCCTCTGAAATATGGCTGCTTATCGCCTGTTTAATATTCCGTCTCCTGAGCGGCCGACGGGCGGCGCTGGCGGGACGCCGCCCGGCAAATCCCCGGCGCAGCGGCCGCCGGCCCCGGCCCGTTTCGGAGACTTATTGCCGCGGGGCGTGGCCTCCGGGCCCGTATATCCGCGCTGTTGTCGACGTTGCGTGGCCGCCTCCACGGCTCCGGAGGGGGGCCGACACCGGCGGACTCCGGGAGAGGAGGGGTCGGGGTAGAGGCCGACCTCCCCAGACAAGGTGAAAGGGCGTCATTTTTGTTGTTCTACGCCCGGCTTTTGCGGTAGCCAACACGTTGCTTTTACGGAACTCCCACATCCCCCGCACTGTGGCGCTGGATCCGCCCCTGTTCGGACTGGCTCGCCCCGGGCGCCCAGCAGTGTGCTACGTCGGAGGGGAAGCCAGGGGAGGGCGTGGCGCGTGACGTGCTGAATATCGCCGGGGGCGCCTCCGTTCCGGAAAGGCTGGTCGGCCGGCAGGAAGGGAGGCGCCTGCTCCGATGACGTGCAGCGGGCCATGTCGATCTCACTGCGGGCGACCCGGGGAGCCCGATACCTATATATCGCCCCTGACCGCTGGACGACTGTTAAAGTATTGTCGGGAGATAGAGATAAAATGGTGCCAAGGCTCAGCAGGGTACGCGTTGTCTTACGGCTTAATGTGTACGTCACCACCGTAGCTGCACCGCATCGGGAAACAGTGTAAAGGATCGGAACACTGATGAAGTACTCGGGACAATATTTTGAAGCATCAACACAGCAAAGAGCTGTGTGTTAAAGATGGTTGCATAACTTAAAGGTTTTTTACAGTTTGGAGCGTGGAGGGTTTCTGCAATGACCTAAATGCAAAAAAGTACAAGTCGTCATTGAAAGGTTTCTGGGCTTCGCCACAGTCCGTGGGAGCCTCGGACGTGACGCGACGCCTTGACGAATACGGGCAAGGAGCACGACTTACGAAAGATGGGCATCACAAACCAAAGGAAAGACTGAACGGCAAATCCGAGCCCTGCTTTGGTATTACCACGCGTTGATTAGGTAATGCAGACGTATGTCATCACCAAGATCACTATTACCACCGATCACTGGATGCTAGAGAGTGACGGCCAACGGGTGGATCCAGATCTCGATAACGGTGACAGGCCGGGGCGCATCGCCTTCATCTCATCTTTCTCCACCCTCCCGCCGACGGAGCGGCAGGCGCCAAATCGTTAACGTCAACCGCCGCCGCTTTTAATTTTCCGGGCAGCGCGACATTTGCATAAGTCCTCGCCAAGTCATTCATACATATTTATACTTGCCGCTCGCACGCAGGCGGCGGGTGGCCCTTGCTTCGTCGCGGCGGCCTCTTTGTTTTGGGCGCGGCGCCGAGTGACTCTCGCGCGGCGGGTCGGCCGTCGCCCGGGGGCAATCGTCGGGGCGCCGCCGGGGCCCGCCCGCGGCGCGGGCCGTCATCCGTCACCAGTCGGTGGCGGTGAGGGCGAGGGGGCCCGGCGCGGGTGCGGATGAGGGCGAGGGAGCCCGGCGCGGTGCGGACGCGTCGCCCCTCTCGCCGCACAGTTGATCCTGGCTCAGGCGGCGCGAGCTCTGACTCAGACGGACACGTGCTTCGCGATTTTGCGTGGCGACGCAATCTTCGGCCAGCGGACGCGGGAGCGTGAGGATAGGGGGAGAAGCGCGAATGTCGCGCCCGATGACGGCAGGGCGTGCAGCAGTCGGCTGTCGCAGCAGTAACGGCAGGACCTGAGACGAAGACCTGAGAAGAGCCGCGATCTAGCGGTACCGAGTTTGATATCCGGCTTTTGCTGTGGTCACTGGCAGTTGATAAAGCCATATGATAGCCGCATTCCTTAAATTGCTTTGCGATGTGAGCAGGGTAAAATGAAATACCGAGGTTTTTTCACCGTGTCTGGTTCCCGCGAACAAGACACGGTGGCAAGGCCGCCGTCCACGCCGGCTTCCGCTTCCCCCAGCGACCGGCGGTGTCGGGGCTGTCCGGTGCAGGGGCTGGACGCTCGACTGACTGCTGTCGGCCGTGGCGAACATGCCGATGTACGGCCACACCGTCCTCCTGACCTCCGACGATCGATCTCCGGCCGAATAACGACAGCGGGTGCCGGTGTCAGGCGGTACAGTATCTCGGGCCCCTGGGACGACGCTGCTGTCGCCGGCACAGTATCTGGCCCCTGGAACGGTGCGGCGTCATGCGGTGCAGTATGCGGAGACTGCAATAGTGACGGTGGATCGCGGGAGATATCGGAAGATGGAGGGAGACATGACTTTCAGATTTTAGAGTTCTTTTGTTTGGCGGTTTTTGTCGTGCAACGCCTCTATAAATGTTGCCAGAGTTGGGGAAGACTGGCCCAAAGCTCCTCGCTGCCACCATCTTGGCCATTTCAAAGTGAATAATATGCCGACACAGGATGTGTGGCTTCGGGTCCCGTAACAGAAGAATGCCAGACATTGCAGTAACCGCCGGTTCTAGCGTGCCCTAGTGCAATACAGTGCGCTGCAATGTTAAGACCCTTCCCGCAGTGGTGTGTCAGGGTGCACGGTTGCCCAGGTGCATTGACGAATACTAGCGCAGCACGTTTTCCATGGCCTCTAACCCTAGAAGGGCAGAGCATGATGACGAGCGAGGGCAGAGCACGGTAACGAGCGAGGGCGGAGCTTCATGGTGACGGGCGACGGTGGAGCATGATGACGAGCGAGGGCAGAGCACGGTAACGAGCGAGGGCGGGGCTTCATGGTGACGGGCGACGGCAGAGCATGATGACGAGCGAGGGCAGAGCACGGTAACGAGCGAGGGCGGAGCTTCATGGTGACGGGCGACGGTGGAGCATGATGACGAGCGAGGGCAGAGCACGGTAACGAGCGAGGACGGAGCTTCATGGTGACGGGCGACGGCAGAGCATGATGACGAGCGAGGGCAGAGCACGGTAACGAGCGAGGGCGGAGCTTCATGGTGACGGGCGACGGTGGAGCATGATGACGAGCATGATGACAAGCGAGAGCGTAGCGTCATGGAATGAGAGCCGCCCGTTCATGGAATAGGGGCGGCCACATCCTCAAAAAAGCGTGTCTAGCTTTTTCTTTACAATAACGCTGAGCCAGTTTTTATAGCTCCATGCTCCCAATCAGAGCAATCAATCCGATATAAACGTTGGCCGACGCCTCCCCTCAAACAGACACAAATGGCCACCCAAGACGGTGGCATAGCGTGCCTGACTACGGTGATAGTGAAATGTCAGACGGCGCGGTAGGCCCGGACGCCTACCGGTCCACCGCTGCCGGGTGCACCAGACACAGCAGGCGTGGACGTCTACCGGTCCACCGCTGCCGGGTGCACCAGACACAGCAGGCCCGGAGTCTACCGGTCCACCGCTGCCTGGTGCACCAGACACAGCAGGCGTGGACGTCTACCGGTCCACCGCTGCCGGGTGCACCAGACAGCAGGCGTGGACGTCTACCGGTCCACCGCTGCCGGGTGCACCAGACACAGCAGGCTTGGACGTCTACCGGTCTACCGCTGCCGGGTGCACCAGACACAGCAGGCGTGGACGTCTACCGGTCTACCGCTGCCGGGTGCACCAGACACAGCAGGCGTGGACGTCTACCGGTCTACCGCTGCCGGGTGCACCAGACACAGCAGGCGTGGACGTCTACCGGTCCACCGCTGCCGGGTGCACCAGACACAGCAGGCGTGGACGTCTACCGGTCTACCGCTGCCTGGTGCACCAGACACAGCAGGCGTGGACGTCTACCGGTCCACCGCTGCCTGGTGCACCAGACACAGCAGGCGTGGACGTCTACCGGTCCACCGCTGCCTGGTGCACCAGACACAGCAGGCGTGGACGTCTACCGGTCTGCCGCTGCCGGGTGCACCAGACACAGCAGGCGTGGACGTCTATCGCTGTCGAGCGCACCCGGCGCAGCAGACCTGCACCCGCCGTGGGGGCGGCGTGTCCAAAGTCTAGCCGCTCAGCTGAGCTGGTCGCGGCCCTCCTCAGCTTTAATTCGCCCTGAATTTCTCCGCTTTTTAAATACCACTATTTAAAACTCTGGTGAGACTGGCACGAGTACAATGACTCAGGAGTCCGACCCATCCGTGCGCACCGCGCCAACAGCTGCGAAGCGTGCACGCTGTTTTTCGAGCTGGTCAGTCACTACTGACTAATGAACACAGCTATACTGCATACTGGCGCCGCCCAAATAGGGTGCGTTTGCGGGCTCAGATATCCAGGAAAGCGGGAGCATACGCCCGCCTTGAGTTGCTCTGCCGAACAGCGCAAAATGATCGCTAAGCGCTGCGTGCATTTGCCCTTGGGAAGGCCGGCTGTGTCATGTCACGAAACGACACTTTTTACCATGTAAGTTCCATTCACCTTTGTCTGGATGTGGCGAGTTTCACACAGGGCGGTGCGATCAACGCTGAGTTTTTGTGCTAGCTCGGTTCCAAGGTCGTGGTGTGGGCAGGACAGTCCGCGAGGGTCGTGATGACGGTTATCTTTGGCCGTGGAGCAGTGCTAATATTGACAGCTGTCGGAGAAACCGACCCTCGGGGCATTAGCGTAATCCCATGAAGTGCTGTGATTGCGTTATCAGGCTGGCGACTCGTGTTGACAGCTGTGTCCAAGCAGACCGCTCCTGCTGTCGGGACATTGATTGGTGATGATGGTATCCACTGGCAATGCGTCGGAGGGAGTCTCGGGGGTCGTCAGGGGGTCAATGGGGGGGGGGGGGGGTCGGCAGGGGGTCTCGGCGTTAGTCATTCTGTCGCAGGCTGAGGCGCCGTGGAGCTGCTTGTAGTTTTGCTCTATGCTTGGGTACTTAAGTCTACCTACAGCTTTGTCGGATTCGTTCGAAGATATTTTGTTGAAGCGTCTTCAGGCGTTGCAATTTTTTTTTCTACGCCGTTACCCAAGAACAGGTAACCAGGAGTGCCCCTCCCTCAATCCCAGCGACGCAGTAAACCGTACGTTAACACCAGAAAACATAAAATCAAGTCGCGGCACTCCCAGCTAGGAAGATGAAACAAACTTAAAAAAAACAGGCGAGGAGGTGGAGCAGACCCGAGGGAATTGTGTTACGTGAGAGGGAGGGAAAAATCATAGATGAAAAGGCTTAAAGTAGTCATTAGCCAAAATCAGCTAATGACAGCCCGCTACAAACTGCCCAATAATCTACAACCACTCAATACCCGGTGTTAGTAAGGGTTATACAGTCACAAGTCGGAGGGGGCAATTACCTGGTCATTTTTGTGCTGTGTTTTGGGCTGGATCTCCAGGGAGTCCACCCAGCTAAGCAGAGCTTGGTGCTGGGAGAACTCCCATATTGGAAAGCTTGTTTTGTTGGGCCCAATTTCTTTAATAGCTCTAGCAGCAAGGAAGAGCTAGATCCGTGACTTCCGTCGGTGTACGGACTTTCCAAGGCGTAAACAATGTCGCTATTGTTGCCAAGCACGCGATCGACGAATATGTTCACATGAAATTATGTTTGCTTGACACGACTCGCTTAGTAGAATTAGCCCTAATTGGTTCATCCTACCGCTCACCATATCTTCTTTTGAATGCATTTTTGCTGCCGTGTGGCATACGCGCTACACTCGGTGAATTATGTACCGTGTTACCATTGACGAAGCTGCTGGCAAACCTTCCAGAAGTTCCGGTATTTTGCTTCTACATCATTTCCGCGACCATCGTGCTAAACATTTGTCCCAATTCAAAACTGACCCGTGGACCTGTCGCCCTGCCCTAGCGTAAACGGCTGTCTCTCGCGCTGGTCGTCCCGCCCTAGTGTAGCCCGCTGTCTCTCACACTGGTCGTCCCGCTCTAGCGTAGACCGCTGTCTCTCGCAATGGTCGTCCCGCTCTAGCGTAGACCGCAGTCTCTCGCACTGGTCGTTCCGCCCTAGCGTAGACCGCTGTCTCTCACACCGGTCGTCCCGCTCTAGCGTAGACAGCTGTCTCTCGCACTGGTCATCCCGCCCTAGTGTAGACCGCTGTCTCGCATTGGTCGTCCCGCTCTAGTGTAGACCGCTGTCTCTCGCACTGGTCGCCCCGCCCTAGCGTAAACAGCTGTCTCTCGCACTGGTCGTCCGGCTGCAGTTTAAACCGCTGTCTCTCGCACTGGTCGTTCCGCTCTAGTGTAGACCGCTGTCTGTGGTAAAGACTGCTATCTCTCGCACTGGTCGTTCCGCTCTAGTGTAGGCCGCTGTCTGTGGTAAAGACTGCTATCTCTCGCACTGGTCGTTCCGCTCTAATGTAGACCGCTGTCTGTGGTAAAGACCGCTATCTCTCGCACTGGTCGTCCCGCCCTAGCGTAGACAGCTGTCTCTCGCGCTAGTCGCCCCGTTGTAGTAAAGACCACTGTCTCTCGCGCTGGTCGCTGTCATGCTGTGCAATACCCGCTTGCTTTCTGTTTCGGCCCAGCTTGACGCTTTTCAAATGATTTCGGTCCTTGCTTAAATTCTCCCCAGCCATGACATGTTCGCGCAGATTACACTTTCACTGCCTCATGTTATGTTTCGTGCAATCTCAGTCCCCCCCCCGTCCCTCCAGCCAAACCACCTTCATATCTTAAGTTACGAACTTCGGATCATAGATACGCAGGATTTAAAGTGATCCATCATCATTGATGTTACGCGATCCAACATGTCAGCTTGTTATTTTTAGTTATTTATTAAACTTAGCGGCAATGTGTTTAATCGCAGGGTTGCAGATTCATGTCAATGCACATCAGATACATGATCAAAGATCCAATATGCAACTTCACCTCTGAACGCAAAGATCCGTTGGGGATTTCCGATCAAATAGCTCGATTGTTCCAGAGCATCAATGATTTTGGGTCCCACAGCATCCGAAAAAATGACTAACTTAAACCGAGTGGCGCACAGATACCGATGTCAGTATGGTAATTGCGGTACAGGTCTTCTGTTTTGAACCGCAGCCTGCTCTCAGCGTGGATGTACCGAAACTTATCGTTGCTCACCTCGTGTCTTCGACCCCAGCGCGACCGCGCCGCGCCGCGTGCCCGTTCCCATCTCTTCGATCCCTCCGCTTCCGCTGCTCCAGCGCGGCCGCGCCACGCCGCGTGCCCGTTCCCATCTCGTCGATCCCTCCGCCCCCGCTGCTCCAGCGCAACCGCACCTCGCCGCGTGCCTGTCCCATCTCGTCGATCCCTCCGCCCCCGCTGCTCCAGCGCAGCCGCGCCGCGCCGGGTGCCTGTCCCATCTCGTCGATCCCTCCGCCCCCGCTGCTCCAGCGCAACCGCACCGCGTCGCGTGCCTGTCCCATCTCGTCGATCCCTCCGCTTCCGCTGCTCCAGCGCGACCGCACCGCGCCGCGTGCCCGTTCCCATCTCGCCGCTCCGTTCGTCACGCTGGCGCCTGCTGTTACAGACGGTCAGCTGTACGTGGGCACGGCGGCTGACTTCTCGGGCCAGGACCCTCTCATCCTGCGGGACCGGCTGCGGACCGACAAGTGGGACACGGTCTCCCTGGACGGTACGTGCCGAGCGGTGCCGGCGCCGGCGCAGCGCACCGGACTTTGAACCCGACAGCGGAGTTTCGAATCCAGCGTGCGGTGTAAATGTTGTAATGGTGTTGTCTCAGCAAGCTGCCTGGGAGCGTGTGACGATAATAGCCAAGATCAGTGACTGCAGGTGCAAGAGCTGGTGGGGTCAAGGTGAATGTGCCCCTTTATTCTTTCACAAAAAGGGGTGTAACTCGCCCCAAAATTTTCACATGCAGCGGAAGGTGATAAGGTGACATTATCAGCGATCAACCACAAATGGGACTCGACCGTTCCTTTTTTTATGTTCCTTCACCTCTCAACGGGACAAGCATCTGTGAATGATCGAAGGAGCACGTTAAGATCCGTGGAGTTAGCGATCGCGGAGCGGGCAGTCTGAGAGCTGTGCTGCCGACTGCCGTCCGGTCACAGACCAACTCACATGGCACTCACTCCTGGGGTGCAGGGCGCAGCACCGGTCCCCTCCCGCTCACAGACCGACTCACATGGCGCCGCTGGGGTGCAGGGCGCAGCACCGGTCCCCTCCCGCTCACAGACCGACTCGCATGGCGCCGCTGGGGTGCAGGGCGCAGCACCGGTCCCCTCCCGCTCACAGACCGACTCGCATGGCGCCGCTAGGGTGCAGGGCGCAGCACCGGTCCCCTCCCGCTCACAGACCGACTCGCATGGCGCCGCTGGGGTGCAGGGCGCAGCACCGGTCCCCTCCCGCTCACGGACCAACTCACATGGCGCCGCTGGGGTGCAGGGCGCAGCACCGGTCCCCTCCCGCTCACAGACCGACTCGCATGGCACTCCTGGGGTGCAGGGCGCAGCACCGGTCCCCTCCCGCTCACAGACCGACTCGCATGGCGCCGCTGGGCTGCAGGGCGCAGCACCGGTCCCCTCCCGCTCACAGACCGACTCACATGGAGCCGCTGGGCTACAGGGCGCAGCACCGGTCCCCTCCCGCTCACGGACCAACTCACATGACACTCATGGGGTGCAGGGCTCAGCACCAGTCCCCACCACGTCAGTTACATATATCGGCGCATTCAGAACATGCGTACCTTTTATGGCTCGTTAAATGGAGTTACGTGCGTGTCCTGGGTCAAACTTGCCTCAATGGCTCTCAGCGAGGTGCGTAAGTTGTGCCCAGTTGACGAACTGTTCGTCTTGGTGATTCGAAGTAACGCAGTCGTGATAACGTGTGACGCTTCGCGTCGCCACCACTGACCATGAGCAAGCAGCCATTTTTGCGTGTGGGCGGGTCTAGCCGCTACAAGGCCTCAAAGCTGCTGTGTGAATTAAACATACGGATATTCCAGCGCGCCATCTGGTGGATCGGGCCTTTAAACATAACGCTTACGTAACGGTCAGCACGTTTCACTGACGAGGATGTAGTCAACTTCAACTTTATTGCGTCTGGCTATTGCAAATAGAATTATGTTTCTGGCTGGCAGCGTCAAGACAGCTTGTATGTCTGTTCTTGATACCACGTTGACCACTTGCAAAGAATTTGTGAGGGCTTCAGAAGTGCCTTACATCCGCCATGGCATCTGAGAGTCCCCAGCTGTCTCGCCTGTCAGAAAACTTTGCTTAGTCGTGTACAAAGTCGACGTCTCGTCGTATGCGATTGCCGTATGGCTGCGTGATCGTTTGTGACAACATAATGCTTTCCTGTTTGAACTCCGAAGTCCTCCGTGAGCGTCGCTTTGCATGGTGTGAACGCGGCCGGGTGTCTAACTGCTTCGGACTGTGTACTATCTACTTGTCTAGTTGTCTTTTAGCGTGTGTTTGACTGCTTTGGACGTAGGCGCGGCGTCTGTTGGCCAGCGTGATCGTTGTTTTGGCGCGTTTGTGACGTTCGTGCCGCAGGCGCCATGTTTGCTCGCTCATAACACGGGCCGCCGGTCTAGGCGTTCATGACGTCATCGCCCCCCCCCTCCCCACGTGTGAGCGCGCCGCCCCGGCCACGCTTTGGGCGCTGTTTGACGCAACGTCCAGTCGTGCGCGGCCCGCCTCGCCACCTGCCAAACGGCCCCGACATTGATCAGGGACGAGGTGCAGGCTGAGCCAGGGCCGGGTCGCCGGCGGACACCCAGTGATAACTGGACTGGAAAGGAGGGGTCCAGGGCCGGGCTGCCAGCGGACACCCGTGGTCAACTGGACTGAGAAGGAGGGGGGGGGGGGAGGCAGGGCCAGGGTCAGAGCCGGGCCGACGGCGGACACCCAGTGATACTGGACTGGGAAGGAAGGGGCCTGGGCGAGGTCACCGGCGGACGCCCAGTGATAATTGCACTGGAAGGCAGGGGTGGCCTGGGTCAGACCGCGGGCGGGCCGATCATCCCGGGGCGGTGGGAGCTCGAGATGCTGTGTTGGCTGGTGACTGAAAGAGGGCTGTCTGCGACCGCCCGTGAAACGGAGCCGTCCGTTGGACTGAGGTTTTGGGTGACATGGGCCTTGGGTTTGGGTAAGGCTTGGGTGTATGACTGCTCAGCTGGTGCTGGAGCAGGCGGTCAGCTGAACACCTTGGGGAAGGGAGCACCGGCGGGGAGGAGACAGCTGACTGTCCGCCGCACCGGACCGCCTGTCACCCGGTCAGAACCCCGCCGAGGCGGGCCGAGGGGGATCACGCCGGCATACCTCAGCAGACCTCGGGCGCCCCGAGCCAGCCCAGCGGTGGCAGCCATCCCGTTGGGGCTGCCCACGTCCCAGCGCCGATGATCCAGCGCGTGGCGAACCAGAGGACCTGGTCGTCCTGCCGAATGGAGGGCTGTCCTGCGGGTCACATCTCGCCGTGCTCGGCGGCTCGCTCGGGTTCGTCCGCACCCCGCCGTCCCACCGAGAGGAGGGCTGTCATGCGGGTCACATCTCGCCGTGCTCGGCGGCTCGCTCGGGTTCGTCCGCACCCCGCCGTCCCGCCGTGAGGGGGGGGGGGAGCTGTCATGCGGGCCACATCTCGCCGCGCTCGGCGGCTCGCTCGGGTTCGTCCGCAGCACGACGGGCCGCGTCGCGCCCACTACAGAGCCAACAAAGTGGCGCAGCGAGGTCATCACGTGCGTCTCTCGGGAACCGGTGGCCCTTTTGTGTGTGCAGTTGCACTTAATGTGATCAAATAGCCCGAGGCGTCGGATGTATTATGCAGGCAAATTATCCGTGAGCCGGCCGGTTCTAGTCATTTGGTCCATTGCCAGTGTCGGCCAGCCGGGGGCTTCGGGTAATGCGGTGATCATATACGTTTTGAACCGGTGAAACAGCAGTGAAATGAGTCGAGGAGCCCCGACAAAAGCCTGTCGTTTACGTTTATGATTATGCGCTAGATTGCGTTTGTCTACGAATCGCATTGCCTTGCTGAAAAGCCTGACGCCGCTACTTAACCTGTACCACAGGCAAGTTACTCCGGTACTAGTTTTGTTTGACGCTCTGTACTGCAAACAATGTTTGTTTCTAGAGCGTTTGTCTGCTGCTGCGCCTAAGTATGCCTGCTTGAGCGTGAAAGGAATAACCTCTTGTTGACGTTCTATGGCGCGTGCTGTTAGTTCGGTGATGGCAAGCTGAGACGACAATTTGCGCGCCGAGTTGGTCTCCGGGCCGCCAGGTATGCCATCTCCTCAGTCTGTGCGGTCCAGTTCCGTTTCGCTCCGAAGCCTTCCCCCTTCTAAAGACGAGCTTACTGAGGACGAAAGCGAGGAGCACGCACGTGCACAGTAGTAAATCGGACGTCCCCGCCTCTTTCAATGGTCTATCCACGTGTATGCTGAGGGAGTTCCTCGCTGAGGGAGTTCCTATGCTGAGTTCCTATGCTGAGGGAGTTCCTCGCTGACATGGCACGTGCGTCAGGACAAGTGCAGCTCCACTGCCCGGTTGTCCCTGCCTCTTGCCGGTGTCAGGCGGGGTACAGGGAGAGTGCGGGAGGCACGCGGCCTCCCTCCCCACATCATTTAGCGCCGCCATCGACCGGCACCGGGTAACAGCATCATTATAACGCGGAATAGGATTACGGGAATGGCCCGAGGCGGCGGTGGCGCGGCGGCGGCGGCTGCAGCTCGGTCGCTGATGCGGTGGCTCATCGGGGCTCAATACACTGCCGAGGCAGCCCCCCCCCCCCTCCCCCTCCCTCGCCTCACCGTCGTCCGAGCGATCTTCATCATCGGCTCTGACTCATCCCATCATCAGCCGGAATCCAGCGTCTTCTCCGTCATCCGATGATTACGTCCGGCCTTCCACTTTGTCTTCTGTCCTTTCCCCTATTTTCAACACCCCGTCTTCTCAGATTGTATCCCACTGTCAGCTAGGTACGCAGGATTTTACAAAGGTCTTGTATGTGGAGTCATCGTCTTAATACATGCCGTATATTTGGTAATGGAGGCGGAGGAGACACGTGCCTCTGGGGGCTCCTATGTGCGTACGCCCTTGTCCGCCATCATTTGACACCAGATCTCCCTCTCTATCCTCATCACCCTCATCAGAGACTTGGACATCGTAATCAGCAGCTTTCACCAGGCCTCTCCGCCATCAGGGGCCATCTCTATCTGGTCTGTCTTGTAATCTTCAGCCGACATCCAACTATCAGCACTCTGTCCCTGCCCGGTCGCCCAGTCCGATGAGCCAGTGTCCGCCCGCCGCCACCTGGCCTCCCAGCGCCCAGGCTCTCCGTCAGCAGAGGGCGAGGCCTTCTATCAGCAGAGAACCTCGTCCGGCTCGGCCTTCCGCCGCTGTCACCCAGCAAGCGTTCACATCAGGTCAATATTGTTTCAATCTCTGTTTTTCGCCGGCGTCGGCGCGCGCCCTCAACAAATTCGTCGGCCGCTTTCATCCCGCTGTTTATACGGGCCGATGCAGCCAGTTTGTCCCGCGTCTGTGAGGGGTGGAGGGGTGGGGGGGGGGGGGGGCGTCTTGATGCCGTGCTGGGCGCAGCGCCAGGCGGGGGACGGCCGAGTGTTGGAATGGGAGGGGGGGGGGAGGGGGGAGGGGTGTTCGGGCGCCCGCCAACGCTCGCTGGCCCGACATCAAAGAAGGGATTGGCGAGGAAAGCCTGACCGACTTTCGTGAGGTGGGAATTACGTGATCGTCAGCCAAAAACGTGCTGTGGAAAAAAAAACGCGGCGGAGGTTGACTTCTCCACCCGCGCCTTCTGAGGCACTAAACAGTGTCGGACCGAATTGCAGATGGATTTTTTACACATAGATGATGGATCTTCCTTTCTATCTTTTTTAGAGAAAGGAACCGCCGTGTAGTAAACTTCTGTCCTACCGGGGATTAGCCAACTACCACTTAAACAAACCCCGTCCTCTTGGAAAACAATGCGCTGTGAATATTCCTAATTTTCCGAAGTTTGATATCAAATTGAAAGACCAGCCGGCAACTTTTGCAATCAACATCCCGCCACATGGCTTAACTAGATATCTTTTAATCAGAGTGAGAAGCTCTGTTAACTATCGTCGGCCTTCGTCCGAGCCCGCCCGACGCGTCTAACGAGCGGCGTTTCAGAGGATCCCCTGGTTCACTCGACATTACACATTGACATTGTATTAAACCCAGCGCTGTCGGTCACAAAACGGGGAGAAGCACAACTTCCTGAAAGTACGGCCAGGAGACTGGCTCACAACAGAGTTGAGATGAACCCCTCAACCTGAAACTCTGTAAAATGAAGCACCACACCGGCATCCTCTCCGCCACCGCGTTTAAATTTCACACCCTTGGTCGAGCCCGACAACATGGCGGCCAGCGGTCCCGGGCAAGGCGGGTCCCGTCCGCTGGTGACCCGTTGGGCAGCCGCTCGCCGGCGACGGGCTACTGCCGTCGGAAGCGATAGCTCGTGCCCGCGGGCGGTGTTTCTGTCGCCGGGAATGCTGGCCGGCAGTTTTATGGCCCCAACTCGGCCCGTTAGAGGCGCTGGCACACATCACGCTCGGATCATGGCGAGCATTTCTGCGATTTAGACAGTTATCTATCCCACTTGGAAGTAATGTGACAAAGGGTCTGTTTCTTTTGCCGTCCCTTGAAACCCTGCCTCGCACACCCGTGCCCCCTCCCCCTCTCTCTCTCTCTAGCTGCGCTTCAACCTCTATGCTCAAGCAGTATGGCGAAAAAGCTAGAATACATCTTCAAGCTATCCAAATGCCACGTTTTGTCCCTGTCGTTTCTCAGGAAGCTGAAAGGTAATTACTAGGCTCTCTGGTCCGTGTCTGCGCAGCGTGTAATTCTTGGCCTCTGCGCCTCGATGTGTGCCTGCTCTTGCGAAGGGTGATCAGCAGCGACCAGATACCATAAAGCTACCAATAAACGGTGGACCATACCGCATCCAAAGAGTGGCTCTGTGTTTAAGGATTCTCCCTGTCCAGGATATGGCCATTTTGCTTTTTATTCCAGTCAGACACTTACTGTCTGGGTCTCAATCGAGGGCTAAACTTACTCTCGGGGCTGGTGCCGAGCATCGAGCTCACTGAGGAGCAACCAAGCGCCAGTCTCAATTCGAGCTGGTGTCAAGCTCCAAGCTCGCCATTCGAGCTGGTGCCAAGCTCCAAGCTCGCCGTTCGAGCTGGTGTCAAGCTCCAAGCTCGCCGTTCGAGCTGGTGCCGAGCCCTAAGCTCACGATTTGAGCTGTTGCCGGGCCCTAAGCTCACCATTTGAGCTGGTGCCGAGCCCCAAGTTCACCTATAGAGCTGGTTCCGAATACCAGCCTCGCCCCCGCCGACCGACCTTTCGAGCCCTCCCGCCAATCAATGGTGCGTCTTTTTCCAGGAAAGGTCGCACTGACCCATGGGTGATGAGTTCAGCCACCAGTTCCCAAACCTTGACCTATGGAACTCCTGTGATCGCGGAGCCTAGCCTGGAAGGGAGACCGCATTTGTGTGGCGCGTGACTGCTCCAATGACGGCTTATTTCGAGGAATTAGGATATTAAAGTCACGTCGTGGAAGTCGTTCATCGTTTTCAAATCCTGTGCTGTGATGGTCGTTTGATCTTTCCAGGGCCTACTGTCTTCCCAAAGCAACAGGAGTGCCGCGCATATGTGCTCTGGCAATCACTTAAATTGGCAAATAGCTATGATCTTGTATCCAAAGGGACATACAACTAAAAATTAGTATATCAGTCTCCTTGCTGCCTTGAAAACAAAGCATGCCAAAGCCAAACGGAAGATGATGTCGGTTGAGTTAAGCGAAATCCTTACAGAATGGTGTCATTGGACATCAGTTTAAGTAACAGTTGCCTTTATTCTGCCCAGCCTGCCCAATAGAGGCAAATTATTTGATGGAGATATTTTTTTTCTATCCCAAAAAGTCCCTGTGCCACGAGGGGGCTCATCTGAGAGGCTAAAATATATCGCTCATCCCTAGCCACGCTGTATGACACATCGATCAGAACCGAGCAAAATGTGTGGCCTATGACATGCCATTTTTAAACGCATGGAGCACGCCTTTTGCACACGGCTATACCCCCACTACATTAAGAGTCAATGATAGGCATCGCAGCGAAACAAACTACGCGGGATTGCGTTGTAGAACTACATCAAAGGCGGCTTGATTGGCTTAATGCATGTGAAACCAGGTCAAGAAGGTCCCAAATGGTTTTCATGGAACTATTTGGATTTCGCGCATCGGGCTCAGCTTTACCATTCGGTGACCTGACATTATTGTATATGTGCACCGCGTTATCGCTTAAAAGGAATGTTCCACATTTTGAGATATTAAAGTAGGCATCATATGAGATAAGATAAACTCACTTATGTCTACTGGTATGCATTGAAGGCGAAAAGACTGCTCTAGACAGCATGATTTCTTTCTTTAATAAATATGTTTCGTTATACGTCATTGCCTGATTGCGTCACCATGCCTTGCAAAGCATTCCTTGAGAGCCAACTGACGGCCTTTATATCTAGAAATTGTGCTTACGAATGCCAGATGTGAACGGCCCGACAATTGCATTTATCTTGGCCTAGAGCACTGCATTGTTGATGAAATGGCAGGATTTAAGTGACGTTTTTATGACGTCATAGAGGACTGGATGCTATTGAAATAGTCTGCCCGAGATAGTCTGCACATCTTCGCAGGCATGCAGTTGAAAAAATAACATAATAAGGTCTTAGAGCTGTGAACTGCACCGAATGATCTTCAAGATGACTATTTCGGTTCAAAACTTTTTACAAATGTGGACCTACCCCCCCCCCCCCTTTAAGATTGATGGGATGCAGGGGCTCAAAAAAGGAAGCTCTTTGGGTGCATATTATGTCAAATGAACTTTTTCGCATGCTTGAACTCATAATGAGAGGCACGATCTCGACAACTAGATAATGACTCGGTGCTTACCATGCCTGACAACCGTTGCCGGCCCAGGCTGTTCAACTGCGGATCCGGACTGATCAATCGACGCCTAGACGCCGCATGCCTCGTCCCAGCACTACGCTGTCCGGATCCGGGCGCATTGTTCTCTGAATTCGTGCTGTGTTCTGTTCTGATCTGTTGTTTAATGTGATGGCATCTGTGATGTCATGTTTGTTGTTGGGTGTCGTGATGTTTGAACCAATATCTGGTGCCTTATCGGACTGATCTGATGCCATGTGTGCGACCTGATCGCACGGTGGCACAATTGCCATGTGTTTTGTGCCTGCATGGCATTACCCGAATCTGAGTGTGTCGTGTTTCTACATTGCTGTAACTGGATCTGGCACGTTCTGTTCCAGATCCGGATTTCGTCAGCTCTTTCGCGATGGGCGATCACGTTTACTTCTTCTTGCGGGAGACGGCTGTTGAGTACATCAACTGTGGCAAGGTAGGATGACAGGCATAGAACAGGCATGATCACCTGCCGCGATGACAGGCATGATCACCTGCCGCGGCAACAGACATGGTCGCCTGCCGCGACGACAGACATGATCACCTGCCGCGACAACAGACATGATCACCTGCCACGACAACAGACATGGTCGCCTGCCGCGACAACAGACATGGTCGCCTGCCGCGACAACAGACATGATCGCCTGCCGCGACAACGGAGATGATCACCTGCCGCGACGACAGACATGGTCACCTGCCGCGACGACAGACATGGTCGCCTGCCACGACGACGGACATGGTCGCCTGCTGCAACAACAGACATGGTCGCCTGCCGCGACAACGGACATGGTCGCCTGCCGCGACAACAGACATGGTCGCCTGCCGCGATACGACTTTAGATATTGCCTTGTGGTGTTTGAAAATGTTGTGTATCCCAACCTTTGGCAATGAAAGCCATGTTTCTTCAAACGTGTTGTCCAGTACATCTGAACCTCAATCTCAGGGCATCGAGCCTTCAGAGCATTTCATTTAGTGGTTCCAAGTGGAAGGCTATAAAATGATCATGTCAGTTTGCTTTTGCTGTGTTTTTGCTGTGGAAGTGGCCACCGACTGGGTTCAGTGGATACGTTTGAGCCCTCTAAAGTAAGTTCCCTTTGCCGCTAACTGTCAAGATGGCATATATTAACATTGAAACGTGGAACAAAACAGCCCCTAACTTGTTATAGAACGCAAAGTGAAATGGTTATGGTCTCCTTTCCGTTTTTATTTCCCACCTCTACTCTTGCGAGTTGTCCAGCCAGTCTGTTCCCTTAGTATTCCGTATTTTTCTTTCATCTTAAAATAATGGAGAATTTAGGCTCATCTTCGTCTCGGTTAACTGCAGTGAACTCTGCATTCATGGACGTAAGTTTGTGTCATCGAATGCAAAAATGATTGCTTTGAAAATGCAGAATGCTGGCCGGGAAGATCAGTATAAAAAATACCAAAATTTCGGTGCTCGTATTTCGTACTGTTCAGAAGCCAGAGCTTAAATTATTAAAGGAGTTGTTACACGATGCTGTCTTCCTTCTACACCATCATTGTGTAGAAACCCATGGTTGCACATCTAAGTTTTGAGGGGGGGGGGGAGGGAAGGAGGTTATTGGTATTTATGATTAAACGGTCGCCGAATCGGTGATGCGTTTCTTCTTTTACTGACGTCATTGCGTCAGCCGTCAGGATTGGTCGTGACGCTAATGGTCTGAGTTGCATTCTCCGATGAATAATGCACCATTATCGTTGTTATACTAATGCCGCTAAAAGGTATTATTAACGGGCATATACAACATGCTCTGGCAAATCGATGCCATCATTCAACCTCATTAGAAATAGGCTCGTGAGGAACTCTATGTGGAGGGCGCTGCTGCCGTGGCGGCATTCTGTGTTTTATTTGACGCGATAAAATCGCAAATGACGTCATTTGTCGGGCTGCCATTGAAGGGCGGCCCGTGAGAGCGTGCTCAGAATGAACGCCTCATTTGGCAGGCGTCAGCTGGTTCTGGGGAACGGGCGCAGGCGGGGAAGTAATGCATGCGACACGTGTGCAAACACTTAGCGTAATGTCGCGCCATTCTGCAGTGCACTCGTTACGTGCTCTTGTTTGGCCGATGTGTTGTTCATGTGAGGTAGGGTATGCTGAACGCTGCGGTTGCTTTACGACGATGTCTGGAATCATGAAGACATACCGCCTCAGTGGTGGAGCTGATGCGTTACCATTGTTGGAACCCATTCCCTTAATTGTTTGCAAATGTGCCACCCTAAATTGGGTGAACACTTACCTAGCAAGCTGTGAAAAGTTTTAAATCGCATTTTCTGCGGTGTGATTGTGCGGGATGTGCGCCCTCGCCCTCGCTGTCTTCCGAGCTCTACATCTGACTGGGTGCCAGGGGGCGTCACGTGACCGCGGGTCTCCCGATTCGCCGGGGGTCAAGGGTCGGCCGCTGAGGCGGCGGCAGGGACCCGACGCTCGCAGTTGCCAGTTGGTTTTTGGACGTGTCCAGGCGAATACACGCTACGTTCTCTTTTACATTTTTTTACACAAGCGCCACATTACTCCATGCTCCATGCTTACACCAAGCTCCACCTTCGACATCCCAGTAACATTTGCTCAGTTAAATTCACTTCATTGGCCTTCCAGGATTTGCCGTGCCTAATTACTGAAAGCTGTATTACCTAACTTTAAGTAGCCCACCAAATAGCTGATGCAGAGTACCAAGATCTCCCGCCTATCTTTCCCTCGTTGTGACTTCGAGGTAATGCTTTGGTGCGGTGATACGAACTAATGCAGTGCTGCATAGTGACCTGCAGATATTTTGAAACTGTTGCCGATGCTTTAGAATGGTTCCCCGAAAGGCGGCCTTTACAACGAAGTGACCATGTGCACGAGAAAATGTCCGCTGTGTCTGGGCCGCGCGCAGCCCAGCACGGCCGTTGGACACAGGCGGCGACCGTGCCGAGTCCAATAAGGACGCCGCCTGTGGACGGACGGGCCGGCGGCTGAGCCCCCTCCCCACACAGCTCCACCCCCCTCTCCCACTGCGTGCCGTCCGTCAGCGGAAGCGTCCCGAGCGGTGTGCTAGGACCAGCTGGGTCACCCTTATTGGCTAGGTTTTGCAGGTTGGTTGGCGTTGAGCTGTGATTGTGTTAATCGGGGACCTGTGTACTGCTGTAGTGTGGTGGTCTTCGAGTGTGTGAACTGGAGGTGGAATGGCCGGTATGTGCGTAAAATACCAGCCCGTGGAGTCAAGCCGCAAGGTACAAAACCCATTGGTGGTTGTTATACTGCCTCGACAAACACTGGCAGCTGGAATGGCAACGAGTCAAAAGCGCGATTGCTGATTTTAGAATGCAAGCATTCCAATCACCGAGCGTGGCAAAAACACGTATTAGTCACCTGCAGTTTTCGAGCAACTTACCAGAACTCCTTTGAAGGTTGTTTTTGCGAAAACGCGCCATCCGTCAAAGCTCCCGCAAGATTGGCCCGGCTATTAATCATTAGAAATGACGAGTATGTGTTTCTGGGATGGATTTTGGGTGGAAGACTCGAAGGACACTGATACTTCCGTATAGCACCGGCTGGGGTATGTAATGTCTCGTCAGATTTTACTATGTGCTCAGAGTGTCATCATCCTGCGCTCCGAAATGAAAGAGGCGAAATAGAGTGGATGAGTTGCTGAAAAAGATCTTTTTAGTTGACAAGATGAACTGGTGAGAGCATTTGTCCCGGACGTATAGATCACCCAAGCTCCGGGATGTCAGTCGAAAAGAGTTCAGAAGGCTCGAGAGATGTCGCCTTGGGCGCGTATGCATATGCTTCTAAAAGTTTAGTGGAAAGCTTGGCTGGAACGGTGAAATAACCTGTAGTGGCAAAAGGCTTGCCTTTGCACATGTTTTTTATGTTTAAGGAAGAACAGCTTAAGCCCGCTAAACATTACGGTATTTTTTGTTGTTATTCTCGGTTATATGAATGTCCGTAGAGTGTTTTCCGATAAACCCAGTCTTCCCCGTAATCTTTACATAACCGTTGCGCGGGGTCAAGGCCGCGGGGCGGAGCTAGTCTCCACCTTCCACCAATCACAGTGGCTGACCTGCCATCGCACTGCAGCAGACCTGCCATCGGCTCTCATTAAAATTGTAAATGGCGAATCGATGCCGTTATTGCCGCGAGACCGGCTGCCGGACCTCCGCCTCCGTCGGCAGCGGCTCCCGCGGTCCGCGTCTGTCGGCAGCGGCTCTCGTGGTCCGCCTCTGTCGGCAGCGGCTCTCGCGGTCCGCCTCTGTCGGCAGCGGCTCTCGCGGTCCGCGTCTGTCGTCAGCGGCTCTCGTGGTCCGTCTCTGTCGGCAGCGGCTCTCGTGGTCCGCCTCTGTCGGCAGCGGCTCTCGTGGTCCGCCTCTGTCGTCAGCGGCTCTCGTGGTCAGCCTCTGTCGGCATCGGCCCACGCGGTCCGCCTCTGTCGGCAGCAGCTCTCGTGGTCCGCCTCTGTCGGCAGCGGCTCTCGTGGTCCGCCTCTGTCGTCAGCGGCTCTCGTGGTCCGCGTCTGTCGGCAGCGGCTCTCGTGGTCTGCCTCCGTCGACAGCGGCTCTCGTGGTCCACCTCTGTCGGCAGCGGCTCTCGTCGTCCACGAGAGCCAAGGCCAGGCGAGCGGTGTCCACATGAAGACCTGATGGACCGACTTCCGTCCGGTGGCCGACGCCGTGCTGGGCACGGATTGGGACACGCCCCTTGCCTTACTCAGGACAGTTAAAAGGCAGTTCAGGGCAGTATGTGCCTTTCAGAGGGCGCTGTAAAAGTGCACTGAAACGCTTAACGCGCCACGGATGAGCACAATTCCGCGTGTGTAGATGAAAAGTGTGGTATATCCTGATCCTTTTGACGTGTCTGCCTGGCATTTACAGCTGGCAAGATGCTCTCACGCACCTATTGCTTTATACCATAGATTTAGTGAGAGGTGGGGTGGGGGCACGTCACCACCAGGAGTCAGTGTCTGTGCACGCGCCTCTTTCCCTCTGCCTCGCTGCTGTTCCGGTGGTATCCCCCTCCGCGCCGTCTCCGGCCCTGCCCCAGCCTCGTCGCCGGGGACGACAGCGGGCGCCGTTGTGCCGTGCGCGCCCTCTCGCGGACGCTCGTTCAATTAGCGCCAGCCGCCGACGGTGTCCGGCTAATGAAATTGTCTCGCTGGCGGAATTACGGCATTAGTGGCGCGCTTATGTAGTGCTGCGACGTAGTCGGCGCACTTGGTCCCTGGGCGAGGCAGACCGCGTGCCACCGGCTGATGTCTCGGCGGCTTATTCAAGTACAGCTCGTCGTCTTATTCTTGGGGTATGCGCTTCCTTCATCTTCTCTCATTAAGCACGCAGGGGCGCGCGCGCCTTCAGAACTGCCGTTTCTAATTTCATTTATTTGTTTCTTCAAGACGTCGGCTTTGCTCAAGCCGTCCAACCAACGAACCGCGTTCACGGTCTATGCGGCTCACTTGGGCTCTCTCGCTCTGTCTTCTAGCCATTCACTCGTCCACTCATCCTTACTGCTGCCCGCTTACGCATGATCTCAGTAGTCCGTCACCTCCCCTTTCCCCGTCTACACTCGGCTGCCGCTCGTATCACTCTTAACCTGACGTGGAGCATTTTTGTGGGCCTGCAGTGCGCATCATACGCCACTGGTGCCACACATGGGTCGAACAAGTCGGTAAAATGATATAATTACGTACAGGTAATTGTTTACATTCTTGGCATAAACTGAAAGTCATGGCGCTGGCTGGTAGCTTGAAGCTGCGAAAACCTTACAGGCTTGGCTGATCCAGGTTGTGTTCGCTGTAGATGGTTGAGTTACGTATTGCGCGCTCCCGAAATAGCGACTTTTCGGAGGCGTCCCAAGCGACCGACACCTCCGCCCGCCCTAAGGTAGTGTGGATGAAGGCGGCCGTCACTGCTGACCCGACCCGACTGACTGTGACCGTTCGTATTCCAGAGGGTGTACTCACCCGACTAACTGACCACCCATATTCCAGAGGGTGTACTCACCCGACTGACTGTGACCGCTCGTGTTCCAGAGGGTGTACTCACGTGTCGCTCGGGTGTGTAAGAGCGACCTGGGTGGCCCCAGCCGCTTCAAGCACACTTGGACGTCCTATGTGAAAACGAGGCTCAACTGCTCCGTCAGCGGGGACTTCCCCTTCTACTTCGACGAGATCCGTGAGTCACACGCGTCGAGCTGCTGCGCGCTCGCCAACAAGCTATGCAAGCTTCCCGCTGCTGTCGACCCGCAATTGATATGCGCGGGCGGCCGGCGAGATATCAGACTGGGCGAGAGCTCTCCTCCTTGAATATTCTGCGGCTGCCCCGCGAAGAGAATGCCGAGCTGCGGGCCCTGATGAGCTCTGTAGACCCAGCTCCGTCTCGGACCAACTTCGTAAGCCCCCGGCTCGGGCGCTTCGCTTGTTGAGCCCTGGCCGTCGCCTGCGCGTGATGCCATCTCCCTGGAATGCGCCGGCTCCGTCGCTTTAAGTGTGCCACTGCTTCTGCCGGCACGACCAAGCCTTCCACTGGACGAGCAGCTCGTCCTGTGGACGAATCCCTCCTCCGGTGAACAGATCGTGTGTCCACGGGACGGATCTTCATGCGCTGAGAAAATGTCAGTTTCGATGGCCAACGAACTCGTTCAGCACACGTACGCCGTTGCCTTCCGTGCGACTAACTCATCTCCCGCTGAATGACGAGACCGAAACCTTTGTAGCCTGGACGGGCTGCTTGGCCGCGCTCTACGCTCCCGCTCCACCGCAGCGCGCCGTCATCGGCGGGGTGTCAGCACGGTCCGGGCCAAACCTGCAGACGCCGCGGTGCTGTTCTTGCCGGCGCTGGCCCTGCGAAGAGCGTTGGTGTTGGCCTGCCGTAGTTCGGTGATGTGGCCGCTAGATGTAGCTGCGTGCGACTGTCACTCCAAGCCTCTTAAACTAATAATAGGCGCCCGTCAGTTCTTTTAACTCGCATGACCACTTACCCAGCGCTGGATCGGAACTCCTCCACCACGGGTACATAAACCGAATATGCAATCAGTCATCTATTTAACTCCCGAAGGTAACTTGGTATAAAATCACACACCAATGTTGTTCTCAGCATTCCATGTTCGCAGGGCCTCTGCGTGCGACGTTCGAGTCTAACTCCGAGCCAGCATGCCCCGCCCCTGACCCCCGTCGGTCGAAGCACCACCCCCAGAAGTCAGCTCCCAGCCGGCGTCCAGGGATCGATAGCATGTCCTCCCCTGCTCCCTCCCCCTCCCAGTGTCCGCAGGGAGACATCAGCCCAATCTGTCGGACCGGCCAGGGCGCTCGCTGATGGGTGTCAGACATCTAAATCATGCCGGCTCATTATCACAAAGAGGGTTTTAATAAGGAGCAGGGTGTTCACCAGTATATCACCGCCCACACTGTCGGAAGAAGTTTTAGTGCGGGCACATTGTAAATCCTGCGAGGCAGAGAAGAGGTCTTACAGTAGAAAAAGTTAATTAGTGTTCGGAAATTGTTTGGTAATTCTTATTTCTGGCTGCTTTTGCGTGTGACGTCCGTTTCGCAAAGCCTTGCCAGTGTGAAACATTCGCACGGTTTATAATGTGGCGATGGAATAATTGTTTGGACTATTGAACTATGCCATTTGGACTTTACGACGCACTCAGCTGTTGGGGCCATATAGAGTAGCTTGCCACTCACCCTGACATGAAGGACGGGCACGGCAGGGAATCGAGCTATGCGGCTCTGGTTTCCAGACGCGCAAGTTAGCCATCGCAGCTATAGGTACCCCTTGTTCGGGATCGTTCTCGTCTAGTGTGTTAATACGTGCACCTGCATATTTTTTATTGCCTTTATACTAGTTGCCTGAAATATAGATGTAAAGTTTCAGAGACTGCAAGCTGTGAATATTTATTGAAAATTCACACATCATGAGACGATCTACTATATACCTGTTCATTTCACACACTTTGCGAACTTGGACACGGTTGGTTCGATCCACTAATAACGCCTTGTGTAATTTAACATTACAATGCAACAATATGAGGGAACCTGTATTGCTATCCGTACATCCCTGTGAAAGGACCAGCGCACGGTACGCCTTCTCCACATCGGTATCAGACAGACACCTTCCAGAGCCCTGTCTCATTCGCCCACCCCCCGACGCCTATCGAACCTGCGCTCATCGAAATTCCGCCGGGCGACCGCGCTGTCTCCAAGTGGCGCCAGCGGCGTCGATCGGATCATCCTCTCGTCCAGGCCGCTTCCCCGCACGCCAGGGACGGCTGCCGGCAGCGCCCCGCACGCCAGGAACGGCCACCGTCAGCGCCCCGCACGCCAGGGATGCCCCGCACGTCAGGGACGGCCACCGTCAGCGCCCCGCACGTCGGGAAAACCCACCGACAGCACCCCACACGTCAGGGACGACCGCCTTCAGCGCCCCGCACGCCAGGAACGACCGCCTTCAGCGCCCCGCATGCCAGAAACGGCACCGCACGCCATGGACGGCCACCGTCAGCGCGCCGCACGCCAGGGACGACCACGATCAGCGCGCCGCACGCCAGGGACGGCCGCCACAGCGCCGGCGGTCGGCCGATTGTGCGGGGTCGGCCGGCCGGGGGCGCCCGCCGGTGGCACCGGCTGGCCGAGGGCGCCGGCCGGTGGCACCACTCGCCGCGCCCCGTATCGACCCTCGGCCGTCGCCGTGTTTGCCCTGGTCGGATGTGTCTGTTTGCGGACGGACCTCGTCGGGATGTGTCGCCGCTCCGGCGGCGGTGGGCCCGTGCCAGCGGCCTGGCGGCGCTCGGTCAATGCCTGGCCGACGGTCGAGTCCGAGATCATCGCGCTGCGGGCTGGTGACGGCGCTTGGCTGAGTGAATTCTGTTTGGCGCTGGTCCGTATTGGCTGCCAGTTCCAGACAGGAGATCGGTCATTCGAGGGCAGTGCTGGCCTGGGTCATTCATCGGTGCATGCACCAGTCTGGGGTGATGGCGTCGCTTCCACTGGCGAAGATCGATGCCAGTGACAGCCTCTGGTGGGGAGAACTGAACTCCCGGTCACCTAGCTCGCGTACCAACGGACCGCCGTAGAACAGACATAAGTCGGACCGACATCGGACCAACAGCATGCTCACGCTGGAAACGCGCTCGTCGTTGAGGACGTGAAACAACTTCAAAAACACTTGAATCAGACTATATAAGGGAACCGAGCAGTCAGGCTGCAGTGCAAGCGCAGGGGAATCAAGCTGTTATCCATTTATTCTATCGTCTGTTTTTTATCACCACGTATCACCACATTGTTCCTCGCGTAATTGCTTTGGCGTGACCTAAACTCAGTAGGAAAGTTTGGGGCTCTTTAAGAAGTCTGTAAGGTTTGAGGTTTGGACACCATGCCACTTGTGATCGACTCGCGGAAGCCCTGGCATTATCTACGCTTCAAATCGAGGTACCCTCCGAATTCAGTTGTGTGAGTGCCTCTTCGAAAAGCTCGCGTGTCCCTTTTCTTCTCCGAATAGCCCAGACCCGCCCAATAACCGATATCCGCCTTCCTCACAGCGAAATGCCGGCCGAGATTGAGCAGCGAGGTTCCACTGTCTGCGAAATCGCCTATCGCTGCCTTTGGCCGCGGCGACCCGTGGGCGTCCTGTGCCTGTCGGTTGTGGTTGGGGGATGTGCCATCTTGCTGTGCAGTCGTGCGGTTTCCCTTAGAGGGTCTGCAGTTTCCTTTCGGGTCGCATCGTTCTCCTGCTTCAGGGGCGTGTTGTTCGATGGACATGCCTGTCCGCTTCGTGACCGTGCGATTCCCTCTAGGAGCGTGCCATTCGTTTTTGTGGGCGTGTCGCTCCCTCTTGTCGCCGGCGTGTTTGTTGGTCGCCGATGGGTAGGTGGGGGGGGGGGGGGGGGGGGTGCACCTCAGGGTGGTGGGGTCGATGACCTGGCCGAGGAGTCATCGGCCGCCGGTGCTGTAGTCACAGCCGAGTCCAACGCCACTCATTCACGTCATGTTCTGTCTGCTCGTGCTGAATGGATGGCTCGGCACGAACAATGGGCGGCGTAGATGAAAGTGGACGTCGCTGATCCGGCCCATGCAGATGCGTTCTCCAGCAGTCAGGCCTCGCAGTGTTTTACTGGGTCCTCTTTTGTATAAGCTCAGGAAGCTCATGTCAGTGTTTGTTCCTCAGTCCTCCATAAAAACCCCGGTAGCGTTGTTATACTTTCCCTTAACCTACGCCCTGGGTAAATCCGTCCAAATGGCTATCCACAGACATGTAACATTGATCCACATATGTCACAATGATATTGTTATCAGCTTTGACAATCCATTACGCGGGTTATCTTTGTTTTCCCTTGTCTATGCCCAGTTGGCCATCTAAAACACCGCTAAATGAAGCAGGCTATGCTCAACTGTCCTCAAATGAAAGTCTCAGAGTTCCTCAGCAAAGCCTTTATATAACCCGCGCGACTGCCTTTCTGAATACTTTAACGTCGGTAAAGTTCTCCCTCATCTGCAGATAAGGTACCACGGCATCTGATACCAACGCACCTGCGGGTACATGTGTCCGGACACTGCCTGATTCCCGCCTTCATCTAGAACCTACTTCTACCCATGGCCTCTCTCTCTCTCTCTCTCTCTCTCTCTCTCTCTCTCTCCTCTCTCTCTCTCTCTCTCTCCTCTCTCTCTCTCTCTCTCTCTCCTCTCCTCTCTCTCTCTCTCTCTCTCTCTCTCTCTCTCTCTCCTCTCTCTCTCTCTCTCTCTCTCTCTTCTCTCCCTCTCTCTCTCTCCATTTCTCTCTCCCTCTCTCTCTTCTCTCTCTCTCTCTCTTCTCTCTCTCTTTCTCTCTCCTCACGTTGGCACAGCCATGTCAAGAGGACATCTTAAACACTGTCCCTCAGCCAGAGCACACCTCCGCGTGCCGTGCCCACATTTCCTCCTGCTTTCAGTCATTGCACTCAACACCAACATCATACCGCTGTCTCTGCCTCCGCCGCAGAGGCGACCTCGGACGTCGTGGAGAGCAGCTACGGCGGCGCCAAGAACCGCCTCATCTATGGCGTGTTCAGTACGCCGCCGAACGCCATCGGCGGCTCTGCTGTCTGCGCCTTCCGGCTGCAGAGCGTGCTGGACGCCTTCTCCGGCCCGTTCAAGGAACGAGCGTCGCTCAACTCCAACTGGCTGCCGGTGGCCGCCAGCAAGGTGAGAGGCGGCGGCGGGCACGCCCGACGCGAGGCAGGAGTGGGCCGGGGCAGACGCGGCGGGCCGTCACCCCGTTCCAAGGCCGGGGGTTTGCCACGGATGGTCGGAATGTGTGGGGAGAGCCGCGTTTGAGGAGCGACAGCGCTGTTTGGCCGAGCGTGTGGGGCCAGACGGACATTCGGCGAAGCTGCGGCTGCGCTAGTCAGCCATGTCACCCAACATCATACGCATTCTGGCACGAGGACTGAATATCTTGTACTTGAAGTCATCAAAACCATCAATGAGTTTGGAATCTGGGAAGTGTTGGGGATTTTGCCTTCACATTTTGTTTGAAAAGCAGTTCTCGACGCTACCAATGCGGTTTTGGACACAATGTCATATTAAGGACCTGAACTTTTTCCAGTCTGCTGAACTGCTCACTGGTTACTTCACTGGCGTTAGATGACCCTAGTCGCACCATAAATAAGTATAAATCATTGCATGATTATGTCATAATGAATCTAAGATGTGGGCGCACCGTTATCTCAAGCTACTCTGGTTATGTAGGGCTCTTCTTCAGCGTCTCAGCTTCGTCCCGTTGCGAGCTACTGCACCTCCAGGATAAGCTCCTTTTGTTTAGCACTGCGCTCTGTTCAAATTTTGTGTCCAAGTCCCCAACGCTTATCAGAAACGAGTCTGCAAATCTTCGGCCATTCTAAAACCCCATACTGCCGGGCCATTTTTCACGGGGTCATTAGGATCGTTGCGCGAATGGAGCCGAACATCAAAGGGGCCGCCAATGCGTCTCCTTCTGCCGTGGAATTGCCGCAACTTGTCGGTCTCCTCCGGCGACTGTGCCGTCTATTTCTGCGAGCGCGTCTCGCTCCGATCTGGCGTCTCCGCCGCCCCGCCGGCCGCCAGATCACGCGCGTATCGATTGCAGGGGACTGACGGTTTAATAGCTTATCCGGGGACACAAAGGTGACGACTCGCCGTACGGCGGGCGACTCGGCGGGGAGGGAGGTACGCCGTCACTGCCGGCGGAGAGGGAGGTACGCGTCACTGCCGGAGGAGAGGGAGGTACGCCGTCACTGCCGGCGGGGAGGGAGGTACGCGTCACTGCCGGAAGGGAGGGAGGTACGCCGTCACTGCCGGAGGGAAGGGAGGTACGCCGTCACTGCCGGCGGGGAGGGAGGTGCCCCGTCACTGCCGGAGGGGAGGGAGGTACCCCGTCATCGCCGGCGGGAGGGAGGTACGCCGTCACTGCCGGCGGAGAGGGAGGTACCCCGTCACTGCCGGAGGGGAGGAGGTACGCCGTCACTGCGGGCGGGGAGGGAGGTACGCCGTCACTGCCGGCGAGGAGGGAGGTACGCGTCACTGCCGGAGGAGAGGGAGGTACGCCGTCACTGCCGGCGGGGAGGGAGATACGCGTCACTGCCGGAGGGGAGGGAGGTACGCGTCACTGTCGGAGGGGAGGGGGGTACGCGTCATTGCCGGCGGGAAGGGAGGTACGCGGTCACTGCCGGCGGGGAGGGAGGCACGCCGTCACTGCCGGAGGGGAGGGGGGGGGGGGTACGCGTCATTGCCGGCGGGAAGGGAGGTACGCCGTCACTGCCGGCGGGGAGGGAGACGCGCCGTCACTGCCGGCGGGGATGGGGGTACCCCGTCACCGCCGGCGGGGAAGAAGGTACGCCGTCACTGCAAGCTGGGAGAGAGGTACGCCGCCACTACGGGCGGGGAAGGAGGTACGCGACCATCGGGGCGAGTAGGGAGGTACGCTGTCGCTGCCGACGGGCGAGGGTGGAAAGTTTCCACTCTGGAGAGGAGGAGGAGGAGAGGTGCTCCAGGTCCGGAGGTAGGCTCTTAGGAATATGTGATGGCAAGGCGATGTGCCCCGGGCGAGGATGATAAATCACGAGAAAGCTGTCGAAATGCGGAGCATGCGGTGGCGAGAGAAATTCGGGTGATTATGAAGGAGACCGCGACAGTGAAAGGGAGGTAGAGTTCACAGAAGCAGCGGCGGTTACTCAAAGAGTTAAGCCAGAATGCCACCTTTTTGGAATGGTTTATTTGTTCATTAAGGGCGTAAGCGATCCACAGACGTAATACCGACTAGGAAAACAGCACAATAAAACCCACATGGAACGAGAATCGCGGTAGAAGGAGCAAGGAATGGAAAGTCAGGGAAAGACGTCTTCCCGGCGGGAAAGCGGTGTCAGTCCGCCTGGCGGTAAGCTCGGAAAGACTCTACGACGTCAATGCGGCGGAAATTTTAATGATAGGGAAATGAAAAATGGCACAATCGGGGCGACAGCTCAGCCAGCAGCAGGGATTTACGGCGGAATGAGGCTCGGCGACCAGCTATTCAGCAGGCTGCTTGTGGCCGCGCGGTGGTGGAGAAGTTCGAGTGTGTTGTCGATTGAAAACACCTGACGGCGAGCATTGTGTGAGCAGGCGGGCTGAGAGGTGCTGTGGACGGCCCAGCACCCAAAACCTCAAGTTCGCTCCCCTGTTACACGGCTCGGTGAACTTCTAACAGCTCGGTCGTCGTTTGATGAGGCTGCCGGGCCCCGCCTGGGAAGTACGCGGCTTTTTACCGTGTTGGTCCGTAAATTAGGGATGTTTAGTCCGTTAACGAACCCCTTTCTCGCCGTAATGTGCTGTTAGCGCCATAACGAGATGCACTGGGAAGCACAAATCTTTTGAATATCAGCGGTCTGTGTATGGGAGGTGTCTTGAAATTTACGTGGCGGAAGGTAGTGTTGTTGATGTTAGCTTTAATTGTGGAAAACAAATGTCATAATATGCACCGCGTATAGCGTGCTCTGCCCCGACAATTCAACTCCAGTGAGTCTAGAAGTTGTGCTCAAACATCCATTGAAACTAAAGTAGAAAAAGCTGTAGAAACGGTGGCAAACGCTGGGCGCTGGAATGCGGTCATCCGCAGCCCTGTGCACTCGTATCGTACGTCTCCCTGACCATCGCATCGTACGTCTCCCTTATCATCGTCTCGCACGTCTCCCTTATCATCGTCTCTCACGCCTCCCTTATCATCGTCTCGCACGCCTCCCTTACCATCGTCTCGCACGCCTCCCTTACCATCGTCTCGCACGCCTCCCTTACCATCGTCTCGCACGCCTCCCTAACCATCGTCTCGCACGCCTCCCTAACCATCGTCTCGTACACCTCCCCAACCATCGTCTCGCACGCCTCCCCTAACCATCGTCTCGACACGCCTCCCTGACCATCGTCTCGCGCGTCCTCCCTTACCATCGTCTCGCGACGTCCTCCCTTACCATCGTATCGTGCGTCCTCCCTTACCATCGTATCGTGCGTCTCCCTTACCATCGTATCGTGCGTCTCCCTTACCATCGTCTCGCACGCATCCCTGACCATCGTCTCGCAAGTCTCCCTCACCATCGTCTCGCACGTCTCCCTTACCATCGTCTCGCACGTCTCCCCTACCATCTTTTCGCACGCCTCCCCAACCATCGTCTCGCACGTCTTCCTGATCATCGTCTCGCACGCCTCCCTAACCATCGTCTCGCACGCCTCCCCAACCATGGTCTCGCACGCCTCGCCAACCATCGTCTCGCACGCCTCCCTGACCATTGTCTCGCACGCCTCCCTAACCATCGTCTCGCACGTATCAGTAACCATCGTCCCGCCATGATCCAGTCCGGTGTCAGGCATCGCACCGGTTGATTAGTGCGCAATAGCTGATGTCTGTATGGGTAGGCCAGTGTTTCCCAGCGAGGCGTATGTGCTGAATACCGTTGCCATATTTTACTCATTTATTGTTAAACATATCGCGGACGACAGGTTTACGATGCCCAGTTGCAGCTCAAGTCAGGGAGTTGGTACTTGACAGCCGATAGTCGACGACGAAACCAAATAATGTACCCAGTTAGCTTATAATTAATAAAGTTTGTTAATTACACACCTGAAGATCTTTACGTGATTCGCACTATACTAATGCGATTTAAGTGTGTGAGTATAAAAGCTCAATACTCTAAACTGACGGCTGTTTCATGAATGCCTCGGCATGGGATCTGCAAGCGAGTATGTGCGCGATATCCAGAACGGAAAGTTAGTGATGCGCTGGGTACGTACAAACAAATCCTGTATGATTGTATGAATCAAGGCAAACATCATGTTGAGTGAAAGCTGGGGCTGCATGACCCGCGCTGACCTGCTGCATATCTTCCACGAATGTAATTCATCTGTGACGATGACATTTGAGTTTGCTAATCTCGTAAAAATGCATCACTGCAACTGCAACAAAAATGCATCAATGCATCAACTGCTGCAGGGTATGTTAACAAACCAGGCAGCGCCCGCAGACTATGACTATGCTCTAGCCTCTCCCGAAGCTCAGTTTCTCGTCTTGGTTTGTGTTCGTCTGCAAACACGATAGTACTTGACGCCGGCCACTTCTCCCAGTGCCCCAGCTGCCTGCCACAGGACTGTAACGATCTCCATCGTCGCAGGTGCCTCAGCCAAGGCCTGGTCAGTGCGTCAACAACAGCAAGACGTTGCCGGACATGACGCTGAACTTCATCAAGACGCACCCGCTGATGGACGAGGCTGTGGGCGCCTTCTTCGGCGGTCCGATCCTGACCAGGACCAGTCTCAGGTGACCACCAGCAGCCCATCGCTTGCCCTGCGCCGGCCAGTGCTGAGAAGGGAGTGTCCACTCCGGGGCCTGCCTGTTTTCCCCAAAGGCAATAGCTTCCAGCTACATTCGACCAGGTCGGGGTGGTATTGTGCACGCCTAAGTGAGGAAATGGTGCTCGATGTGTTTCGATGCGGCGTGTCCGACGGATAGTGCACCAGTCCCGTAGCTTCTTTGGCGTCCAACGACCAACGAACACCTGGCTGGTGGAGAGTGAGTGTTTTCTGACTGGCACTTTCCGGACTATATTGATGGGCCTCTGGGTTGAACAGACTGGGAGGCTTTTTGTGGAGAAAGTCGTTTGCATTCAAGATCCATTGTTTACATTTGCCGGGAATGAAGAGCCTTGTGGTAATCTCCCCCTCTCTGATCCAAATTCATGTTGGCTTGACAAAGACCGTCACGGGGGCTGTTCATAGAGACGGGCCCAAAAGACCTTCACGGGGGCTGTTCATAGAGACGGGCCCAAAAGACCGTCACGGGGGCTGTTCATAGAGACGGGCCCAAAAGCATCTGGCTCTCAGACGCTTGAACCAATAGAGGTATTTGCCAGTGGGAGTACTCCGTTGGTCTAGATCAAGCACGCAATAGCTCCTTGTTTTGCGATTGGTCATGGGATCGTCTCCAGGACGCAGGGCTTCAAGAAAAGCGGCGACCCTCGGCGTTGAATCATGAGCTTAAGCGCCCCTGTCGGGGAGAAAACGGAGCACTGGTCGCTCGCGTCAGCCCGGCCGCCCCGGTCCATAGTCAAGCGAGCGCTGCGGCCACCGCGCTCTCGGACGACGAATTATATGCTGTGCGTCATAAGTGTTGAGCTCTTGCTAGGTTGGCTGGCTGTGGATGGCAGCATCGTTACCGGTGATGTGGAACTCGTGGTGGACAACCGATCAGGACAGCAACTACCGGTGCTGTCCCTCCGGTCTGTGTTTATGGCGGCCCAGCATTGCCTTCTGTCATCGGATGCAATCAGCCACTCATTTACAACTAGAAGTACTCTGATAAGCCAGCGCGATGCATTGGTGGACGTCATCAAATGCTCGTCAATGTGCTCGTTGTAATTATTGATGTTATTGTTCCATCAAAAGACCGCAATTAGCGTAGCAGCTATATGCGAGAACTGCTATGGACCCAGCAAGGAAGCCGTAACGCTGCCGTCGTGAGCGGAACCCATTCAATCCTGCATCGCAGCTCTGCCCCTCCCCCCCCTGCTGTATAACGGACCATAGACCATCTACGGCTCGCTGCTGTCCCTCCGTAATCACCCCACCAAACCGCGACGGAGCGAACCCCGAACACGGCCACTTCGTCAGTCGATAACCCGCCCGGGCCACATCAGCCGCGCCGCCGGTGCTGGCGCGGCTGGCGGCCGTATCGACTGGCGCTGCCGGACCCTCTGCGGCCGGCGGGCGCTTGTCGGTGCGGCGTGCGCCGGTGTCATCCGCACCGCCAGGGCAGCGCTCTAGCCATGGCGGCGCGGCTGTCACCCTCCTCAGCTGGTATCGCTCTAGCCATGGCGGCGCGGCTGTCACCCTCCTCAGCTGGTATCGCTCTAGCCATGGTGGCGCGGCTGCCACCCTCCTCAGCTGGTATCGCTCTAGCCATGACGGTGCGGCTGTCACCCTCGTCAGCTGGTACTGCTCTAGCCATGACGGCGCGGCCGCCACCCTCCTCAGCTGGCACTGCTCTAGCCATGACGGCGCGGCCGTCACCCTCCTCAGCTGGTAGCGCTCTATCCATGACGCCGCGGCTGCCACCCTCGTCAGCTGGCACTGCACTAGCCATGACGGCACCCCCGCTACCCTCCTCATCTGGTAGCGCTCTAGCCATGACGGCGTGGCCGCCACCCTTCTCAGCTCGCGCGGCCGTCGCCCCCCCCCCCCCCCCCCCCAGCTGGCAGCGCGACAAAGTCACTGGAACGGCATGACATTTGGGAAGATGTGCAATGCTAGTAATAACCAACAATGCTTGTAACCATTAACATGTCCACATCTATTTTCGTACGACTTGCTCATTCCGGTTGCAATCTTCGCTAATATCGAACCTGATCCTGCCAAATCTGTGCCCCAGTTCTCACTGATTCTGTTCCTCACGACTACGGTTCCAGTATTTGCTGGTTTAGGCTCCAACCCTTATGAGCCTCTTCCACAATCCCCATCGGTCTCTGCTGTAATCCTCTTTGACCCTGATAAAATGGCCACCAATCGCCGTTTCCTTGCCTTTCTTGGGGCCACTTTAAATCTCTGGTCTTCCTTGGGGCCGCTTCACATCTCTGGTCTTCCGTGTTGCAGCCTGAAATGTGTGATACTCCTTGGTGCCATCTCAAATTTCTGATCATCATCTCAATTACCACTGATATCTTTCCCGAGTCATCGCAGATTTCCTCGTGCAAATCCGCCATAATCTCAGCCCCAGCCACCACTGGTCTCTGCTCTAACCATCCCTGACTCTGCCCTGATCATCACCAGTCCTAGCCCCAATCATCACTGATCACAGCCCCAGTCACCATCGATCGTCACCTTGCAACGTCTCCAATCCCAACCGGTTGCCCCGGCTGGTGCGGTTCTCTGCCTGTTGGCGCGTTCCGGCCGCAATGCGCTCGGTGCGGCTCCTCCGGCGCTCCCACCGATCCAGTCAGACGCCGATGACGGCCGCTCCGCTGTTCCATCCAGACGTCCAGTGACGGCCGCTCCGCTGGTCCATTCCGACGTCCAGTGTACGGCTGCTCCGTTGGTCCAGTCAGACGTCCAGTGTCGGCCGCTCCGCTGGTCCAGTCCAGACGTCCAGTGTCGGCCCGCTCCGCCGGTCCATCCAGACGTCCAGTGTCGGCCGCTCCGCTGGTCCAGTCAGACGTCCAGTGTCGGCCGCTCCGCTGGTCCAGTCAGGACGTCCAGTGTCGGCCGCTCCGCTGGTCCAGTCAGACGCCGGTGACGGCCGCTCCGCTGGTCCAGTCAGACGCCGGTGACGGCCGCTCCGCTGGTCCAGTCAGACGTCCAGTGTCGGCCGCTCCACTGGTCCAGTCAGACGCCGGTGACGGCCGTTCCGTGATCCAGTCAGGCGCCAGTGATGGCCGCTCCGCTGGTCCAGTCAGACGTCCAGTGACGGCCGCTCCGCTGGTCCAGTCAGACGTCCAGTGCCGGCCGCTCCGCTGGTCCAGTCAGACGTCCAATGTCGGACCGCTCCGATGGTCCAGTCAGACGCCGGTGACGGCCGCTCCGCCGGTCCAGTCAGACGCCGGTTGACGGCCGCTCCCTGGTCCAGTCAGGCGTCCAGTGCCGGCCGCTCCGCTGGTCCAGTCAGACGTCCAGTGACGGCCGCTCCGCTGGTCCTGTCAACGTCCAATGTCGGCCGCTCCGCTGGTCCAGTCAAACGTCCAATGTCGGCCGCTCCGCTGGTCCTGTCAAACGTCCTATGTCGGCCGCTCCGCTGGTCCAGTCAAAACGTCCAATGTCGGCCGCTCCGCTGGTCCAGTCAGACGCCGGTGACGGCCGCTCCCGCCGCTCCGCCGACCCAGTTGGACGTCCATTGATCGCGCCGCTATGGAACGGACCGCCGACGGCGCCCAGACCCACCCGGCGCGGCCCGCCCCGTCCGCCACAAACGCGCCGCCAATTTATTACGCTGACCGACGGTCATCGGGAGAAGGGGGGAGGGGGGGGCACTCGCCTGCCAAAAACTGCTGTCTCGATCGGGTTTGGCTGCGTTCACGTGTGCTTGGTGTGTGCGGCGGTGCACGAAGCGGTGGACGTGTTGTATCAGTGCCCGTAACATTTTGTTTTTAGTAGCTCATAAGACGCGCAGCTGAGCGAAAGGTGAATTGGAAGATCGTGCTTTAAACAGTTTGCAGATAATTATTTTGCTCACTACAACTAAAGAAATAGCAATGTCACTGCAGCATACTCGTGTGTGCCGTTTTGGCCACCGAGTCTCCGAACCATGCGGAATCAAACTAAACAGAGGTGTGTCTTCAAGCGTGCCTTACTGTAGCCATGTGGGCACATCTCGGTCTATTTATCAGTTATAGGCTGACGGGCACTTGTGCTGATTAGAATCGGCTTATTTGCACACGCGTCCGTTGATTGGCCCGTGCGTCGGCCAATCCGTGCTCTCATCGCACCGGAGCCTGGCCGATTTGCCGTACCCCGCATAACCAGCGCGGCGCGTGGCTCGTTTTTACTCCCGGGCCGGGCCGCTCCGCTGATTGCGTATGACCTCGGGCAGCGCCGGCGGCGGCGCTCGCAGGCTGACGCGCGCCAATCAGGGGCTGAGAGGGTCCACTCTCGCTGGGCGCTGGCCTTAGACCAATCAGGGGCTGAGAGGGTCCACTCTCGCTGGGCGCTGGCCGTAGACCAGTCAAGGGCGGAGAGGGTCCGCTTTCGCTGGGCGCTGGCCGTGCACCAGTGAGGGGCTGAGAGGGTCCACTCTCGCTGGGCGCTGGGCGCGCACCAGTCAGGGACGGAGAGGGTCCACCCTCGCTGGGCGCTGGTCGCATTAGGCGACACGGGCCAGAGCTCAGTGGCCAGCTTCAAATTTCGCTTTTTGCAGCCGGTTTTGAGGGTGGCGCTATTAGTCAAACCTGATTATGGCATTATTAAGGCATTTTTTAAGGAGTAAACAAATTCCTCTGGGATTTCTGGCTTGAAGGAGGCGCCGCAGGATCTGCGTTGTGGTACCGTATTGAAAGAGACACCAGACCTCGCAGGGTATCGAGTGCAAGGGAAACACCGGGATATTTAGTGAGCTACGCAGCTGTTTACGATGCTACAGGAGGGGGTATTCACGACCGTATACGGGGGGTAATGCGATTTGTGGCGAACTGCCGTGTTCCAGGAGAGGATAAGGGAGGTCTGCACTATGACATCCTGCTCATTGGTGGTGCTTGACTGTTGCCTTTTGCCTCGGGGCCATTTCTTAAGCTGTTCACAAAGCAGATATACGTCACTTTGGCCATACACTTCTCTTCACCCAGACCAGCTCATTTTTTTTCCACTTGCGCGTTCGCATGCCCATGTCGTCTCTTCCCCAACACCGGGTAGTCCGGCCCAGTCCGCGACCCTTGCTTCGATTTTGCTTGGTTCCGGGTCGGTTTTGCTTGGTTCCGGGTCCAAATGTGGTTGTTTCGAGCGGCGGGTTTTCTCAAGCGAGCGATCGGACGGGGATTTACGACCGGCGGTCTCAATGCCTGTCAGTCCGGAGCAGAAGAGCCGGGAGCCAGGACTGCCTCGGCCGTGGACGGCGGGCCTGACGAGCGCCGCCGGTGGACGAGCGCCGCCGGTGGACGAGCGCCGCCGACGACGACGAGCGCCGCCGGTGGACGAGCGCCGCCGCCGACGACGAGCGCCGCCGGTGGACGAGCGCCGCCGGTGGACGAGCGCCGCCGACGACGACGAGCGCCGCCGTGGACGAGCGCCGCCGACGACGACGAGCGCCGCCGGTGGACGAGCGCCGCCGCCGACGACGAGCGCCGCCGGTGGACGAGCGCCGCAGCGTCGAATCTGTTCGGGCTCCGGAGGGTGTTCGTGTCCGTCCGCTGTTATTGTCCCATCTGGCAGCGTCATGTCAGCCCTCGACCCAGGGGTGGGGCGACATCACATCTAACGTCAAGCCACACCCTGCCTCCGCACCCTAAGAGAAGCAACACAACGACCCTTCCTTCTCTCCTTAAAAAAGCGGGGCGGCCCGTCCGCGGCCATGCAGACCGGAAGTTGCAGCTTCCGGTGCGGCGCAGAATCGAGGTCGACGCGGCGTGTCGATCGGAGGTGTGATGAACGCCGGCGACCCCACGCCGAAGGCCTGAAGTGGCCACCACCGGCCAGCGCTCAGACCAGGCCGGATGCGGCGGTCAATAGGGACCGCCGGAAGGGAGGAGCCTGGGGCGGGGGGGGGGGGAGGCGCCGGACGGTCCCTGGTGTTGCCCCGGGAGGTCAGGACAGAGGAGCAGCGTGGCCTGGACCGGGGCTGGGCTCCGGGCAGGCGCCGTGTGACGTGGCGCTTGCGGCTTCGTTGATTGGCTGTTGATGGACGCAGGTAGCCCTTGTTGCCGTAGGCACTTAGTTCTTCGCGTCGGTTGACGCTTCCGCGATCGAAATGATCGATGTGTGACATTGAATCTTTGATATACTCAGTTGTAATGCGTCGTCAGTTGCCTTTTGTGATTGATCATTGCATTGCAAAACTAGGCTAGATACCGATACAACCCAACCATTCTGCTCATAGTCAGTGTGGTGGAAGGCTTAAAGGAAATGTTTGACATTTGAAGATGTCGAAGTAAGCATCGGATATGACGAAACAAGCTCCCTTATAACTATTGTTATGCAAATGGCACGATTTGAGTGGCATTATGACGTCATAAATACCAAGGTGACCTTCAAATGTTCTCTCAAATTTCTCTCCCACATCTTTGCAGTCTACGTGCTCAGCAACCCGAGGGCTTTAGGTCTTAAAAAGGGTATAGCCGTGAGCTGCGTCAAAATGTCTTCAATATGGCTATTGCAGTTCAAAGCCTCATACAAATGTCGAATACTCGCTTTGAGCTTGGCTGCCTTGTCACTGGGGAATATCAGAGAGCTTTGACACTGCCGGGAATGGCTGTCCGGCGAAGCGAGCGTTGGAGGCGCTCACTGAAGGAGACAATGCGCTTTGACATGCGCTGGACCAAACCGTCACTCGCCGGCTGTCTCCAGAGCCCTCGAGACGCTCAAGGAGCATATCTTGGGAACGTCATGCCATTCACAGTTGCAAAATAGCGCGGCATGGCCCTAAAGCCGACATGCTGGAAAGTCCTGCCCTGCATACTTCTCGCACCGTTGTCTGCTGCTTAAAAAGTTTCTCCCAGGCAATGCACGACGTTGTAAGTTACGCCAGAGACCGCATGAACAAGCCTTTGAATATAAAAATATTTTAGCCCTACTATGTCGTCAGAAGGCAGAACAGGTCAGTCGCTTCCACGTCTTCCCCTGGCCTCCACCTTCTGGAGACTTCGTCATCACTGACCCAGTGGACTGGCACCACTCTTGGCGTGTCTGAGGGGACCCGCGACCCTTTGTTCGAGGAAGGCCACCTATTTGCCTTGTAAGACCAGATTTGTTGCCTTTCATTTACCAATGACTGTCGGCTAGCTTGGAGCGGCCCGTTCATTTTCGTCCATTGTTCCGTTGTCAGCGAGCTGAAAATAATGCTTGGCCGTTTTGTGCTGGAGCCTTTGTGACGCTTGCAGTGGCCGTTGTGTTGGCGGAGCTCAGCCGTTCAGTTTGATACGGCTTCGGTCTTCAGTCGTTCGGTTTGATACGGCTTCGGCCTTCAGCCAGACAGTTTGGTGCGGCGTCCGTCTTCAGTCTGACAGTTTAATACATTGTCGGTCTTCAGCCGTTCAGTTTGGTGTGGTGTCGGTCTTCAGCCGTTCAGTTTGGTGTGGCGAGGGTCTTCAGCCGTTCAGTTTGATGTGGCGTCGGTCTTTAGCCGTTCAGTTTAGCATGGCGTCGGTCTTCAGCCGTTCAGTTTGGTACGGCGTCGGTCGCCTGGCGGTGCGCTGGGCATACCAAGGCGCTACCCTGTTGTCGTCTGCCTTGCTTTTGTGGCGAGGATGTGGCTGGACTAAACGTGGTATTGCTACATGGTGTGCAGATATAAAAGTTGTGTGGGTGTGACCGGCGCCTCGGTAGTGGCATGGCTGCGGGCGCGGCCATGTCACTGAGCGGCGACGCTATCGGTTAGCGATGATCTATGCGTGTCCGTGACCTCAGTGTCATTTTGTTTCAAAGCCACACAGAGGTCATGTTCAGGCTCTGTGTTTATTTGCGACCGTGACTACCGTGCGACTTTGACCTTTGGAGGACCGTTGCTGCCGTATGACCGCGATCTCTGGATGACGGTAACCTCCTACTGACCGTGACCTCCGTGTGACTGCGGCCCTGGGATGCGCTTGACCTCCGAGTGACATTGATCGACCGTTTCAGTTACCGGTTCTCGGCGGTGACAGTGGACCCGCGCGTCCGCCTGGTCGGCGACGGCGAGGGCAAGAGCCACCAGCATGTGGATGTGCTCTTCGTCGGAACCGGTGAGTACCCGCCGTTCGCACAGCAACGGCGCTGTTGCCTGACTGAATATTCGGCAACCTTTTTGCAGTTATAAACGTGCGTCAGGTCGGTGCACCACTTGGGAAAGAAAGAATCGCTCGTTCTGCAATAGCTCCGGATAACGTGATTGGTGAACGTCACAGTTGCGGATGGAAGACAAGGCAGACATTTACTGGATCGGCCTCGGATAGCAAACCGGACTTTGAACCAGGCGCACCCTCCTCACAATGGCAAAATTCATGGGAAGTTTGTGCATCACAACATGCTTCACTTGGGCATGCTCTTGACTCGCGAACCTGAAACGTGATCTGCGGCGGAAGACCTCTGTTGATGATGAATTTAGCGCGTCGTGATCGTGGAGTAACCATCGCTATAACGACTCGACAGATTACGAAGATGTTGTCAGTTAAGTTTGGTGGTCGCTTTGCCTTTCTCTTCCGCCTCTGGCCACCTCTCGAATCCGTGTTTTGGCTCCAGATCATGAATAGCGAGTAGCACTAAATTGCCGCATGTATTGAGTAAAAAAAAAACGAAAAAAACGAACAAATAAGACCACCGTTATTATGTACGCGGTGCCGGAAAGAGTAAGACAATGACCACGTATTAATGGGACTTGCGCCTTTCGATTCCCGTTGCGAGGAGTCGGCCAGCGGGCAGGAATAGTTTCCACACTGCGGCCGTCACGCAAATATTGTCGGCCCGATGTCTCCACTTCTTCAAAGCCGCTCAGAGGACACGCTGGTCCTCCTAGTGCCGCTCAGAGGACACGCTGGTCCTCCTAGTGCCGCTCAGAGGACACGCTGGTCCTCCTAGTGCCGCTCAGAGGACACGCTGGTCCTCCTAGTGCCGCTCAGAGGACACGCTGGTCCTCCTAGTGCCGCTCAGAGGACACGCTGGTCCTCCTAGCAGGGCACTTTCCCCATCTATGCTATAGCGATGAATAGGTGATCACATCTGCATTGATTTCACCCGCAGCCCTTTGTACCGCCCTGACAGCAATATCTCCATCGCCGCGTGCGGCGGGCCCGCCCAGCGCGGTGACGTCACGATCGCTGATGGTTTGTCGGTCTGTTCGAGATGTTTACGACATGCCGTGTGTGGCTGGGCGGGTACAAGCGGGCCCTGATTGCTGATCCATCGGCCCTTTGGTTACGCCACGAGTCGGAGGGCGGCTCTCGATGCGTGCTGACTCGGGTCGGTCGTTGGAGTTGTCCGGCGTGGAGCTGGCTCTGACGTGAGAGCACAGAACAGTCCTGGCTCTGCCGTGAGAGCACAGAACGGTCCTGGCTCTGCCGTGAGAGCACAGAACGGTCCTGGCTCTGCCGTGAGAGCACAGAATGGTCCTAGCTCTGCCGTGAGAGCACGGAATGGTCCTGGCTCTGCCGTGAGAGCACAGAATGGTCCTGGCTCTGCCGTGAGAGCACAGAACGGTCCTGGCTCTGCCGTGAGAGCGCAGAACGGTCCTGGCTCTGCCGTGAGAGCACAGAGCTGTCCTAGCTCTGCCGTGAGAGCGCAGAACAGTCCTGGCTCTGCCGTGAGAGCACAGAACGGTCCTGGCTCTGCCGTGAGAGCGCAGAGCGGTCCTGGCTCTGCCGTGAGAGCGCAGAGCGGTCCTGGCTCTGCCGTGAGAGCGCAGAGCGGTCCTGGCTCTAACTACGCCAGACTGGTCCGTACGTGTATGTACATGATGAAGTGCGGCCATAGGCGTCGCTCAACCTTGCAATTTGGCACGGCGAGGAAACAGGATGGCCGTGGTCTACATATCAGCTGGGGTTTATTCAACACCGGGGTCCTACTCACCCTTTGTGGATTCACAGCAATGCTCAAGTTGATTACGTCAATTGAAAGGTAGTGGTTTGGCTGATTCTCCATGTATCAATAGCCGTCTTTTTCTCTGTTTTACTGAGCACTTTTACCACGGTTGTTATACGGATGTTATATTTGTTAAATCTAGACAATGCTGTGTCGGCTCTTTGCCCTTTCCCATAACGCAAGTGGTGCAGTGAGAACGCCGAAATTTTCGACTCTGTTAGGCCATGATAAGTAAATTTGTAAACCTCATGTTAGACACATATTTAAACTTATTATAAACAAAATATGCTTATCATGGTTTCAACGGCAGCACGACGTCGGGGGAACGGTTTTGATACCAACTGATTTTAAAACCCCTTGGTTAGATAGTTACTCATTTCGTAAGTTGTTCAGTGCATTGGCGAGGAACATTATTCACATAGATAAGACGGTAGTATTAGCCTTATTCCTCGCAGAAAATCAGGAGAATGGAGATATAGTTCCGTTGATATTTGGCAACATGCCTTTATCAAAACAGTAGCAGAATTCAGTTATTCTGCTATTGTTTCGATAAAGGCATGTTGCCAAAATATCAACCCAACTATATCTCCATTCTCCTGATTTGTCTCCGGTGGATAAGACTGATATTACTGTCTTATCTAGTTGCCCATTTCAATGAAAATATCCTGCAATGGCCACCCACCTGAAGCCCTATCAGTGGAGCTGCCGTCGACGATCGGCGAGGAATCGGTCGATACGGCATAATTTTGTCACGCACCAACTTGTAACGCTCTGCATGCACCCAGCCACTAATGTCCTTGAGCCCGCCATAGCCTAACTCGGTTTTAACCTTTCGACCTCGGCACTGGTCCTACGCCGCCGCTCTGACCTTTGACCTCTGACCCTCGAGAGTCGCGCGCCTGTCATGGTACTATAGACATCCAAATGAGGAAGTCGTGCTCGGCATGTTTCGCACGCGATGTGTCGTACGGCTCGTGTGTGGCTTTATCCTGCCGCATGGTCCTGGTACAGGTTTAGTCTCACGTAAATCCACACTGGCAAAGCGATCAGTCCGCTTTAGGACGGACCTTATCCATTTTCCGCCGCCGAGCCGTCCAGTGGCGTTCCACAGTTCGACACGCCCGCTACCATCTCGGGGGCAGCTCTGTCGTGTCCACTCGTCCTGCTGCACCGGTCCGTCCGCCACTTCCGTGCGTGCCAGGCTGCTGCTGGGGCGGAGTGTGGCAACGGTGCCCAAGCGGGGCGCTGTTTGCTCGTTAAGCGGCGCAGGAAGCGGGCGGTGGATCAGTTAAGTGGTGTAGGACGGCGAACGGACATCACCGAGAGGAACCAATCTGCCGCCGACCATACTTGGATTGACCTAGGCATATATTTGTACCCACTTGACTGCGTTTGAAGCCACACCTCGTGACTCGAGTGGAGCGTTCTGTTCTGTCAGGGTGCTTATGGTGGCCGTTACAAAGTTTTGGCCAAGTGGTGATTTGTTGCCGCTATCCGGCACCTTACGTGAAGACTTCTCAAACGTCCTCGCATCCGCCCACAGAGCGCGCAGCCATGCGTGCTCGCGGAAGTAGCGATTTGGTGCGGGCAAAATATCACTAGAACATAAAGACTGCGTGAGATTGATCCTTCATCACTCCCTTCTGTCAATGCTTCGACTGAGCGTCTGGTTGTTTGCGTGGTCCAGTCCTCCTCCCAGCTTTTCCTGGGTGCTTGCCTTTACCCGGCCTGAGACTATAGCAGTCCTTCGGGAATTACCCGTCTCTGAGCCGGCACGTTGTCTTCGAGCTGTGTCCACTGGCTTAAGCGCTTAGTTTTCGTCCAGGTTGCTTCTGTCTCCGGTCGTAGTGCGTTATCTTTGCACATTCTTCCTCCCGCGTATGCTATTTTTGTACGATCTCCGGCTGGCGCGTGTTGCCTCGGGACCATCTCGCTCCGGCATTGGTTGTCTCCGGACGAGATCCCGTCGGTGGCCATTGTTTCCGGACGAATCTCCGGTCTTTCATCTCTATATCTTGACCAACTCCCGCTGGTTGACCCCGTCTTCTGCCGATCTCCCACGAGCACACGTTGTCTTATGTTGATCCACGGGCGCGCACTATCTTCTGTGGATCTTCTATGGGCGCGAACTATATTCGGCCGATATCTCCCGCGATCGTGCAGTGTCTTCCGCCGATCTCCCGCGAACACGCACTGTCTTTTGCCCATCTCTCGCCGGTGTTCCCTGCCTCGCCGGCCTCCCACAGCTGGGTATCTCTGCACGATCTCCCGCAGGCGCGTGCCGTCTCTGAGGGCGATCTCCCGCCACCAGTCGTCATCCTTGCGCGATCTCTGGCCAACAGGCCCCATCCCTGGGCGATTTCCTACGCCGGCGGTCCGGGGGCCGTTCCCCGGTGGCGCCCTGCGCCCGCCGGCCAATGTCAACGCCGTGCCGGTCGTTTGGAGGCGGTGTCGCGTGCCCGGCCGGATGCTGAGTTATGAACGGGTCTGAGTTATCGCCGTCAGAGGACAGAGGAAGGCGCTCGGGAGACGCCCCACGACGCTTCTTGGTCGCTCCCCGCCGTGTGGCGCCAGCGCCCCAGACAATGCAGGCCGGTGCGAGGCGGTCCAAGCGCTCCAGTAGGCCGCTGCGAGGCGGCCCAAGCGCTCCAGTAGGCCGCTGCGAGGCGGCCCAAGCGCTCCTGAGGCAGGGCGTTGTGAAGGTCAAGGATGATATGGAAGATATGTATCAGCCAATTACGACATCGGACGGTGACCTGAGCATACGCATGTAACAAGGACGCTGTAACTCCGGTATTTGAATCGTGCATATACCCGTAATGCATAGCGGGGATTATCAGCCCTCCTTTGCTGTGTTTTACATATCGTGAAGTGGAATGCTGCATAGGCCTGGCCTTTTCCAGCAGACCAAACGGGAGGATCATCAAGGCGTTCAACGCTCATCACAAGATGGCGGCCCCCCGTTGTGATCGAGGAAATTCAGGCCTTCCCATCGACAGACGCGGTGGAAGGGGTAAGTGGACTCATCAGTGCTCAGGAAGGATGCTCAATAGGCAGCTGGTGTCATGGAAATCAGTGGATGAGTATTAAAGGGCGGCTGCTGTCATGAGTACCTGTTAAGGGCGGCTGCCTGTCATGAGTACCTTAGGTAAAGGGCGGCTAGTACCTGTTAAGGGCGGCTGCTGTCATGAGTACCTGTTAAGGGCGGCTGCTGTCATGGGTACCTGTTAAGGGCGGCTGCTGTCATGGGTACCTGTTAAGGGCGGCTGCTGTCATGAGTACCTGTTAAGGGCGGCTGCTGTCATGGGTACCTGTTAAGGGACTGAGCTTGCAATGCGCCATTAGCGCTGGCTGTGATTTTCCGCTGGCCGACACCTTGGTGTGGTGGGTTGCTGGTCTGCTTTTGTTTTCATATCTCGTCTTCTGCTGACTATGTCAAGCTTCATGCAGCTACTCTGGTAATATCTGGCGAGACATGTACCTATTCTGGTCATACGCCTCGAAGTCATTTGTGCCGGCAAGGTGGGAGACAGCTGTCCGCGGCCGCCAGCGGTTAACGGGTCAGGGACCTCTCCTCCAGCACTCGAAGTCCAACACTTCCAGTCCAGCACTCAAGCCCTGAGCCCACGGTGTCGTATTTTCCCTTCCGTTTGCTCCAGAGTCAGCCAATTCATAAGTGAACCACCGTAGGCAAAGGCGACGGCATCATGATCCTTTTGGCCGTGTTTCGAATCTCCATTGATGCGCAGAGTTGCAGGCGTTCGCTCGACCTTGAGATGTTCTTTGTTGCGACAGGAGCGGTCGCTGTCACGCATCACGGTCGGAGAGTTAGCTCTGCGCCTTTTCTCCTCGCTACCATTGTCCACAGATTCCGAAAAGTTCATCTCAGTGTGTTGTTCTTAAATTAACTCATTTAACGAAACGGCTCTGGAAGTCCCAACTTTGATGAGATTAGGCTTGAACTTTCCCGTCTGTAGCCTTGAACAGTTGCTCTTTCCCTGCCACTTCGGTGTTTTGCACTGAAAATGGTTGCATTTGTTAAATGTGTTTGTTGTGAAGTACACATGCATGAGTCGGGATTTGATATAATGCTTCATCTTTATTGCTATTTATAGGTAGCGATAACAGATATTGATAGGTATATTGTTGAGTTAAGTACGTTGGCGTCACTAGCTTTCATTGATAATGCTGGGCGTGCATCGTAAATTAGCACGCACGGTAGACAACCCTAGTGAGCGGGAGAGGACCGTCGGTTTTTATTGCTTTCCAAAATAAGGTATGCAATCACTTTTTGTG